TGGGCGCCGCAGCCACAGGAGACCACAGGTGTGTGTCCCTGCAAACACAGACGGGCCAATGGCAGGGACAGTCAGCATTTCACACCTCATCAAAAGCAACATGACCGTTTTGGTTCATGTAGAAAAATCACTTGAAGAAATCAGATCCCTGCTTTTTATTTTTAAAACTTCAAAACAGAAAGACAAGGTGAATTTCCAGCATAACGAGCTGTAAGCTGAATAAAGACAGGTTCTCGTGTCTTCCATTTCCTGCTTTCCCCGGGCTCAGGCAGCGCCTGCCGCTTAGTAGAGCCTCTGTAAACGCACCTTAACTGGGTACGTGAATGAGTGAGGGAAACGCTGAGTGTCTTTCAAAACGAGAGAGCTGCACACCTGCTGCGCAGCTACCGCCGTCCTCCCCACAAGGGACCAGAACCACGGGAATGGCCTTCGTCCTCACAGTTAGTGCCATCATGCAAACTACTGTTAATACAGTGGCATCGAAGCAAGGAAGAGAAATAGGTGTTTTTTAAGAGAAATAAAAGCTGTTTTGAGGCGACGATAGGGTTGCCGTGGAGGAGAAACACGGAACGGCCGTCTGTGGTGTTAGGAGGAGGGGACCAGGAGGCGCGGAGGGAGTGCAGAGCACGCCGCCTGGGTTTCTGGTCCCTGCAGCGGTGACACGGGTGCTCGAGGTGATTGATAGAGAGGACACGATTTCAATTAAACTCCGGCAGGATTAGTTATCGAACCCGAAACTTAATTATTGAAGCCACTGTGATTAGTATAAGAACAATAGGGAAGGACAAATGGAACTGTATTTCCGAGTGTGTTACAAAGAAAAATAAGGCAGATGCGTGATGCTAATGTGCAGACACACACACAGACCAGCGACACAAAGCCTGGGGCCCAGCAGCTGCCACACAGATGGAAGCAAGTGGTCTTGAGAAATTAAGTAAAAAAGCAACGAGAATGGGAAGATGCCGTTGGGGTGACGAGGCCGCTTGATCGTTGAAGCTGCCGAGCCTGTGAAGCAGTGTGGAGACTAACTGCCCGAAAGGTCCAGGTTTTCAACTACAGGAACAAGAAATGTTGAAGGAAAATTGAACTATTCAACTGCAACAGTTACATAGTTAACAGGATACTCAGACCCTAAAATAAGAGGACACAGAAGGAGCTGGGGTGCCCGGGCGGAATTGGGAGGGGCGTCACATCCTGGACCCGTCAGCCGGGACCCCTGGGCCGCGCCCCCTCCTGCGAGGGGGCTCTGCAGTGGGAGGGGCCCGGGCCCTGTGGCTCCCATCCTTTGTGATGTCCCAGAAGTTATCTGGGCTTCTTGCTGGAGCCGTGCCCCTGTCTGTTCCTCTTTCCTGATGCCTTGTAATCAGAGGTCCTGGATGACCCCCCGGAAGTCCCCAGACAGGCTGCTGCTCTGTGGCACTAAACCCTTGTCCCCACACAGCTGCCTGACAGTGGGCAGTGACAGCTGTGTCTCAGTCCTGCGCACGCTGACCGTGGAGGGGCGGGCGGCATCCCCACCTCTGCTGTGGCACACACTGAAAATACGGGTGACACCACCCAGCAGCCAAGGACATACCAAACAGAATTCGAAGCTGTGTTCTCGTAGCACGCTCCACGGGACCCAGTCACAGGGACACAGTCCCAACCGGACGGAGCGAAGCCAGGACACCCTCAAAATGCTGCCAGCCCCGGGCCTGGGGGGACAACACAGAGCGGCGTGGCACAAGCACAGGAGAACGTGTGTGCGTGTGTGTGTGTGTGTGTGTGTGTCCACGTGCAAGATAAAGAGCTGAGGGGAGATGCTCTCATGTCCTGGACATGGATTTTTAAATTTATCTTTTAAATATGTGCCCTGCTACAGTGTCTACATTCTTTGAGGATGAGGCTAATTCAGTTTCGGGTGAGTAACTGTTTGAATAGTTGTGATTAAGAAGAGCTAAATATCTTCACGTATCTGTGAAAAATAAATGCATTTAATACGACTTTTGCAAAAAGTACCATGAGAAGTGTGTGTTATTAAATGTTACTGTGACCGGTGATGCGGGACGTAATTAAGAATTCCACCAGATAAGTGGAATGTGTAAATCCTTCTAGTTTGTAGTTCCTGTCAGTTGCTACGTTTGCTGTGAGTCCCCCAAACCGTTCGGCTTTCACATGTGCAGGCGCAGTGGCCTTGCTGTGGAGGGCGCCATGGAGGGGGTGGGGCGGCTGGGGCCGAAGCAGAGAGAGCCCGGGCCTGGCAGTCCTCATCCAGGACCTGGCCCGGCCAGTTCGCAAGGTTTGCCATAGATGCGACCCTGCGGACAAGCAGCGTCCAGGGCCTAGTGTCCAGCTCAGCCAGGTCTCGTGCAGCGTGACTGTGGGACGGGAGCCCCCCAGGGGCAAGGTCGGCACACTCTGATATTCAGATCACTGCCTCCCATCGCTGCATCCAGGCCCAAGGTGGTACTAAGCAGGCGTTTGTTGATTGACTCTATGAACAAACGGATGGATAGGTAGATTAATGAAAACAATGAATGGGGGGGGTGGATAAATGAATGGATACGTGGATGGATGCGTGCATAAAGCCACCAAAGTAGCTGTGTTGATGGCAGCTCCACAGACAGAATGTCACACTCAGTGTGTGCTCACCTGCCACCCTCGCCGTTAGTGCTTTGTCCCCCCCCCCCCCAGGCACACACTGCCTCGCGTTAGGCTGCTCTCAGGGCAGCGCTGGGGATGAGTCACGTCCCGAAGAGAGAGCCCACAGGGGAGGCCAGGAGACCTGCACCGTCCTGTCCAGACAGTGACCTAACTGCCTGGAAATGTCTGAAGGGCAGTCACGTGGAACAGAAAGCACCAGGATCAGGTTCTGTTTGTCCCCGGAGGTGAAACGAGAACCCGGGAGTCAGGTTGCAGTTGGTCCGGTGTCGGAAAGGACCCCACAGCAGTCGGAGGGTCTGGAAACCGAGGGACCGCCCAGGGCAGGGTGAGCGGCCTGTCTTGGGGGCATCTGAGTGGTGCTTCTCAAAGTGTGGCCGTGACCTTGGGGGTCTCCAAGACCCTTTCGGATCCAAAAGTCAAGCTCTTTCCCTGTGACTGCTAAGCCATGATTTGCCATGGTGCCTGACACCTGTGCCCAAACACAGTGGGGGGTAGAGGGGAGCAGCGGAGAGCAAGGCGGACGCCCCGTTTGGAGTCACTGTGGTCCTCGCCATCACGCACCTGCTGGAGGAAAGGTTTCGTTTAACGAGGCCCTTGAGGACGCAGTAGGGGATCATTAATGCCGAGAGTCTGGCCCCCCGGACACACCGCTCTGGAGCATTCCGTGAGACAGAACCGCGAGTGCCAGGAGCGCCTTCCTTCCACTGCGCAGCTGCCGTTTGAGGAAGGGGGGGGACTGGCCAGTGTCGAGCCAGACTATCCACCTTGTATGGCATGTCACTAAAAAAACCAAGTGACAAACTCTGGCTATTCAGAGTTGGGTTTTAAAGGAGACATTTTCTCGAAAATGAACCCAGTGAGCCAGAAGGAAAACAACCAAGAGCCTTTGTCGCCAACAGTATAATCTGAGCTTTCTGGCAGAAATTAAAATGTTGGGACCTCGTAGTACCTCTGTGAGTTTGAGAGCTCCCAGCACCCGGCCCTGGGTGGGAGGGCGCGTGGAGTTAAGGAGCGTGCTTCTGGCGTGAGGCGATGTGTCAGCACTGCAGACACCCACAGAGCTCAGAGGGCCAAATGCCCAGTGCCCGGTGTAACGAACCCGTGTGTGGTGGGAGACCTGCCCACGCGCAGGGCAGACCAGTAGGTTCCCATGTGGCGAGGAGGACAGATTCACGACGCGGTTCCAGATTCCACGTCCCAGCCAGCCTTTCCCCCGCCCCCGGTTGAGCTGGGGGGTGGAATCGAAGCAGAATGTTCTCACGAATCCGAATGCTACTAAAGTTGCCCTCCCTTTCCCACTCGCCTGTCTGCGTGAGACCAGACGCCCTCCCAGTGCCTCCAGCGGAGCCGGCCAGGGCCAGGGTCCCTCACGGAAGCAGGGCCCCGCAGCCCTCTGACCTCGGTTGGGCCAAACCTTCCAGTGACTTCAAAGGTGCAGCGCAGGGAATTCTCACTAATTGTTTTCGATTGGGGAAATATTCATCGGAAGTGGTATTTATGTTAACACATAGTGGGTTTATTAGTGTGACTTCCAATGAATTAAAAATGCAAATTTTAGAAATTTCTCAGTTTTACTGTCTGACTCAGTGAATACCAATAGCAATATCACAGAGTTTTTTAAATGCTCTCCGGGATGCGGAACAGTTGTTAGGAGTGTGAAGGGTTCCTAGTGCTGAAAGTTTGAGAGCCGCTGTTGTCGGAGAGTCACTTCAAACATGGCGTCTCCTTGGACCCCGAGGTTCTACGGTTCAGGGTGTCAACGCAGCCGCCGAGGTCACCCTCTCTTCCCATGGGAGGGATAAGCCCCATCCTTTGTGACTTTGACACCCTTGCGTCAAAGTCAGTTTCTTCTAGAAATGGGAGCTACATACTCCTAAACACGGAATTACAAAGCTTGCTTTTTCAGATGTGGAAATCACGTGGTTATGGAGAAAGTACATCACTGCTTTGGTAGGGCCTCAGCCCCACCCAAACCCGGGGCACGCGCATGTGTCCCATGCCCCATCCTGAACGTGCAGCTGTGACACTGCCACCCTCTGTCCCGTGTCGAGCGCCTGTGTTTACCCTCGACTTTAAACAGGAAGAGGCGATTTGTGCTTCTTCTGTCCTCATTCTTAACCCGGAGTGTCTCGGTGATTTAAGGAAGAAAGAGATCGAGACGTTCAGTCTGTTCCAGAGAGAGAGACAACTCCTGCCGGTGTGCAGCCCACACTGGGCAGGGAGCCCCCGTGAAGGCCCCTCGATCCCTGCCCAGTGACGGCCATGCAGGGAGGTGGACATAAGCAGAGCCGGCCCAGGGGACTGGAGCAGAGAGGACCACGATGGGTTCTGTTTAACCCACCTCTTTTCCTCCTCAGGAACTTGACCGGCAACTTTCCCGAGTACCCTGAAGCCGAAGAAGGGGGTTCTGCTGTCATTTTCTCAAACAAGACCCCACAGCAGGTACAAATGCGGCTTGGGAAATAAAATGTAAATACGTCAGGGTTGCATTCCCTCCGAGTTGGGAGTCGCTGGGTCACGGCTGTTTTTCCACAAGCTGTTTACACGAAGAGGCCTTTGATGTGCATCAGTGCGTGCGCTTGCAAATTTGTTTCAGAGGGAACGCACCCTTTCTCCCCTCTTGCCTTTGATCGCAAGGCGAAAACATGTGGTGCGCGTCTTCCCGGTAAATGCCGAGCGGCTTGACCCCGGCAGCCCGGGTGCTCCCGTCCCTGCTGTCTCCTGTCCCGTCCTCACCCCAGTGACTCCCACAGCCTCTGGCCCTCCTCCCCTTTCCTGCCCTGTACCTGGGGCCCCGCCCACTCAGCGTCCTCTGCTCGGTCCTTCTGCCCGCGGAGACTCTGCTCTTTGCCGTTTGATCATCTGGGTAGATGCTCCCTGGCGTTGGGTGAAGTGGGCCTTGAAAGCTAGTTTTAGGGGTGTCATAATAAACTGGAAATAGGCAACTCTCCCTAACCTCAGAGTGTATTTATCGGAGAAACGGAGAGAAGACTGGCTTTGATTTCAACAGTGAGGCTTCAGAGGCAGGGCCCTCAGAAGTGGGACTCGAGGGAAAGTAGCTGCTACCAGAACTGCTAGCTAAAATTTTCCTACAAGTTCCAACTCTGTTGAATGCAATAAGAAAAAAAAGAGGAGTTACAAATATTTTAAAGGGATCATGTTGTCATTGTTTTTAGGTTATGTGATTATCTTTCCCCAAAACACAATAAACCACATAGATTATACTGGCCTATTATACAAAATTGTACAGAAGTATATTGACAAAGTTATACTGAAGAATTTGAAAGAAGACTTGAACAGACAGACCGACGGAGTATTTCCCTGGGAAGACTCAGTCAAGTACGAGTACATGTTGTCTTTTCATTACTCTGTACAGTCAGTGCAATTCCAGTCGAGTCGAAACAACTTTGTTGGCCAAAGTGCTCTCCAGGTTATATGGAAGAATAAGTACATGAAAATACACAAAAAGGTTTGGGGGCAGCATCGTCATCACGGGGCACTTGCCCACTGTCTGTAAACCAAACTGAGGGGTAAAGCGGTCAAACGTCACGGTCCTGGGGAAGCAGACTGGCACGTGGGTGACGATGGCGCCTCCCGCGTGCAGAGTTCTCGGAAAGTGACAGGAAAAGTCCGAACGCCTCCCAGAAAAGTGACAGCGAGCACAAACAGACGTCTAACGGAAGAAATTGTACAAGTCACTGACAAAGAAATTTAAACAGAAAGCGGCGTTACTCTGCCTCTTCTCACGTACGGGGCTGGTGAAAGTCTAGAATCGTGGTGATAACCGGAGTCGCTGACGTGGGGGACAAGCCTCTGTACGTTGCTGCCGGGCGTGTAAATTCCCGTGACAGTGTTCCAGGGGACGGTCTGAGTAAACACCTAAACGCTGCTTCTGCACGCCCTTTGACCTGTGCACCCTATTTAAGGAGTTCACACTAGGGAAGCAGTAAGACAAGTTGGCGTGGACTGGGGTCAACACGTGTTGTTTTGGAAAGGGCCAAACAGTAAGTATTGGAGTCTGGGGCGCGTGCGGTCGCTGCCCCTGCGGTGTGAAAGCAGAAACGGACGCTGAGTGAGTGAGTGGGCGTGCATCCAATAAAACTTTATTCGTCAGCACGGGCACTGGGCCGATGTGGCCCGGGCACTGCCAACCACTGACCCTGCTGCGGAAGCCGAAGACACCACTCGTGCCTGCATCATTCGTAGCGTTGACAGAGCAGAACAGAGGCCGCCGTTCTTCAGGAGGGAACGAGCAGAGTGACCCGAAGCCCTGGGTGGCGGTCAGACCTGCCCTGTGCGTCCCAGTCATCCCGGCTGTCCCCCCTGTGCCGCTGCAGGAACACGCACAGTTGAGCACCCGGCTTGCTCCTGTCAGCAGTCCTGCTCTGCCGCCTCCCCCCATCAAAGCCATCCCACTTCCAGAGCCTTCCCTCCACCCCCAGGGGACTCCTGTCTTTCTCCACTCGGACACTTACTGCCCACCCGCTCGTTCTGCAGGGCCCTGAGCCCTGGCTGGGTGGCTGTCAGGAGACTTGGTGTCGCCCCACTTCTGAAGTTTAAGTTTGTTCCCTCCAGCTCCAATGTCAGACACAAGTCCTGACTTGAAAGTCCGTGGCCAGCAGCCAGACATGTTTCGTGTTAGCGGAGAAAGGTAACAATTACAGGATTAAGAACATCAGCGGAATGTCTAAATTATGGAAGAGAAACCACCAAAACCAGAGCTGACATCCAGTTGAACTGAAGACAAAAGAGAGCCGAGGATGTCTGGTTAATAGTTAAAGTAACGTGAAGGGGCCCCAGGGCAGATGACGGATGGGTCGAGGCAGCAGAGTGGTCTCTGCATCCAAGGCTGAGGCCAGCTGGGCCCCTGCCTCCCGGTCTCTCCTCTGCACCTGGATGCCCAGGCCACGGCCAGCTCCGGGTCTGATGTACTAATTAGAGATGGCTCGTGCATGAAGACAGCTTCCAGAAAGCGTTAGCAGCTGTTACAAATGTTCATCATCGTAGGATGAAGCAGTAGGCCACGCCTAACCATTATAATGATGTACATAAAAAGTCAAGTTCATATTCGTGAGCAATAAAACTAGTTCAGATGATTTTTTAAGAACTGAGCATCATCACATTGATACTAAATGATGGAATACAAATCGAGCCACAGGTAGTCTTTGCTACGAGTATTAATGCCAGTATTTTAGTGAATCATTTGCACACTGCAAACCGGCGGCGTGTTACCTGAGCAAAACACCAAGGGAAGCACCAGGGATTCGGAATGGAGGGACGCTCCAAGCTCAGGGCGCAGGTGAATGCTCCGCGCTACGTAGAGAGATCCACACGCGAAAACCACGAGCTCGTCACCGTGGACGCCGGAAGGGCCGCTGACAAACTCAATGTCCATTCTTGATATGATAAAAAACAAAACGACTGGAATAAGCGGATACTTCTTTAACATGACAGAACAGCTCCACCTTAGATCAAAAGCCACTGTCACACTGAATGAAGTTCACTGGGAACATGTTCACTGATGTCAGGAGACATTCAAGGGCGGCCGTTGTCACCTGCCTCCCATCTGCCTGCTGAGCACCATCAGAAGGAAGGACGTAGAGAGGTCGCGATTGGAACGGAAGAGGCAACACGGTCCCTTTGTGAGCGTGACGTTTCGGACGGTTCTGTACTTAGAAAAGCAAAGACAATAAACTCCATAACTACCATAAAGCACATGAGAAGCTGCTGGGAAGTCAGCGAATTAACGCACAGAAAGCAAGAGCTGCCGCGGGTGCAGCGGGCAGGAGGGCAGAAAACGCAGCAGAGGCCCGTTCGCAACAGCACAGCAGCAAAGATGAAACACCCAGGAACAAACCTAGTCGTACGTGTGTGTTTATGAGCGGAAACACTCACAACAGTGCAAGGGATGCTCACAGGAAGATGAGACACACGCACCTCCGCTCTCCCGGCCTCCTCCACGGAGGCCCCGGGACCCAACGAAAGGGCCCACAGCGTTCTGTGGGAGCACGGCCGGGAGCGGGCGCAGGAGGGGGGCCGCCCCGTTCTGAACTGCAGTTACAAACTGACCGAGAACACCCAGTGAGGTCCCGAGAACAAAGTGTGGCAGGGCGTGATCAGGCCTGCCAGGCGTGGAAACCCACGATTGGGGCCCATTGGTACAAACGAATGACCAGAAAGACCCGTTAGCGGAGAAGAATGGGAAGTCAAGAAATCTACCCAGATACAGATGAAAGTGCCGTACACGCTACCGTATTTTGCTGTGTATAATGCGCACTTTCTGCCCCAGTTTTTGAGGAAAAAATAAGGATGCACATTTTACATGGATATGATGACTCCACACCATGGGTGAAATAACGGGTCTAATAAACCCGTGTATAAAGCTCATAATAACATGGGTGGGCATGACACACAGCAAAATACGGTAAACGTGGCATCTTACTTGTCTTGCGTAAGAAGAAAAAAAAAAGACTATTTAATATACGGTAGCAGAATAATCAGGTTGTCATCTGAAAAGAAAATTAAATCTCTTTATACCAGAATGGCTTCCTCTGGATCAAAGGTTTCGGCATCACACAAGGCAAAGACAGAAGGACTTGCAGAAGCCCAGGAAGAACTAAGTCCCGACCTCGCGGTGGGCGAGGCCTCCTCCCGCTGCTGCTCCACCCAGGTTCCTACCAGAAAAAATGATAAATTGAACTACACACACAAAATATTTTTAACCTGCACGGCAAAACCAACCCCCAGGGAAGTCAGGTGTCAGGTGACATGCTGGGAGAATTATTTGTAACAAGTATCTCCCGTAAGGGGTCATTTTTCTAATAATACCAGAGAAAGATCAATAACCCAATATAAAAACCAGGCAAGGGGTATGAACAGACAGTTCCAGCAAGGAAAAGCCGAAGGCGTGTGAACCATGATAGAAGATGCCAAACATGTGGGGGCGATGAAGCCCCCACGGACAGGAGAGATGCAGAGTCGGGCGACAGCGGCAGACCAAACTGATAAATTGAAGCTCATCAAAATTCAGAACTTCTGCACTTCAAAGACATTAAGAAAATGCAAATGCAAGAACAAGAACGGACGAGGAGAAGGCATTTCAAAACACATACCTGGTGAAGGGCTTGCGTCCAGAGTAGACAAAGAACCCCGGCATCTCAATGATGGGATGAGTAAGCCAATCAGAAATTTGGCAAAAGACTTGAATACACAATTCACCCAAAAAAAGATACATGAATAGCTAATAAACACGCGGCAATGTGCTCAGCATCATTCGTCATTAGGAAAATGGAAATTCAAACCACAAAGAGAAACCGTTCTCTACCCGCGGGGATGGCTGTTCGGAAAAACATTCTCTCAGGCTGGAACCGTGGCCGCCACTGGCCAGTGCCGGGGAGGCAGGAGAAAGGCGGCCCCCGCACATGGCTGGCGGGAACATGAGAGGCCGCAGAGAGTCTGTCAGTTTCTTAATTGTCACAGGGAGATGCGCCCAGTGGCCCACCAAGCCCACACCCAGGACTGTGCAGCAGAAATGAAAACACATGTCCACACATGAAAAGACCGTGCGTGAGTGTTCATAGTGGCGTTGCTCCTGATGCCAACCATCTGAACCACCCACGTGCCCCTCCCCCGGGGGATGGAGGGAGAGGCCACCCAGCGGAGCATTCTCCAGCAGAAGTAAAGGCGCCGCCCTGGCTGAGGTGGCTCAGTGGATTGAGCACAGGCCTGAGAGCTAGAGGATCGCGGTTCGATTCCCAGTCAGGGCACGTGCCTGGGTTGCAGGCCAGTTCCCAGCAGGGAATGCACAAGAGGCAACCATACATTGATGTTTCTCTCCCTCTTTCTCCCCTTCCCCTCTAAAAATAAATAAATAAAATCCTTAAAAAATGAAGGCGCCAATCACTGGCACCCACTGCAACGTGGGTGAACTCAGGGTGCGTCGAGGTAGCCACACAGGGAAGACTATGAGTCCCCCTACGGGAAATGTCCAGAAAAAGCCGATCTGTGGAGGCGGAAGGTAGATTAGCACTTGCCCGGAAGGAGGGAGGGGGAGGCAGGGGGACCGGCGATTCACTCCTGTGAGGGGGTCTTCACGCGTCATGGAAGGCTCCAGAGTCAGTGCCCGGTGACGGCTGCACAGTTTGGGAAATTCACTGAAGAGCGGATGGTGTGCTGGAATGGTAAATGCGTGGTATGTAAGATAGGCCTCAGTAAAATTAAATCTACTTTTAAAAAGCAGACAAAACAGGTGACAGGCCAGATGCGGCCGTCAGGCCCCATAAGTCACCAAAAATGTAACAGGCAATGGGGTGCCCTCCTGGCTTTGGGAGGTTTTCCTACAGTTGAAGAGAACAAGCAAAAAAAGTCAGTATAGCGCAAAAAACACACACACCCAGGACAACTGCAGTGAGGTGCTGTTTTCCAGCCCCTCGGCCAGTGAACACAGGACAAACGAGCAGCCTCCGCCCGGCGGAAGCTCATTTGATGATGGGGGGCGTGCACTTGACCCAGAACGTCTCCTGTTAGGACCCGATCCTCAGACGGGCTCACACACCGGCCCGGCGGTGTTGCGTGCATTTACCACGGCTGCGTCGCCGCTGACAGCAGACGATCGGAAACAACCTGCCTTCACGTCGGCGGGAACGTTGACAAACAGGTTACGTGCCCCTGCCTTAAAGTGGGCGAGGAAGCCGTTTCTGTGCCACGGGGGAGACATGGCTGAGGTGCGTTATCAGGAGGAAAACGCAGAGCGAGAACAGGCTGCACAAGGTGCCACCTGCTCTCCAAGACAGCAGAAGGGTGCCTGTGACGCCTGTGCGTGTGCACACGCGTGCACATGGGTGAGCACTGGGGAAGACTTTGCTGTATGGTGAGGAGCGTAAGCAAGAGCAGTGCAGGGGCTGGTTTAGAGAACGGACAACCACGATCTCGGGCCGGTTCTCACAGACACGACTGGCGACGGAAGTCCGTGTGCTCTGTGTGCGTGTGGCTGTGTGCACACCCACTCACACTTTGGCACGCATCTTCGTTCACTGGCTCTGGAAGCGTGTCTGAGGAGCCTGAGTTGGTTTAGAAAGGGGATCTCATTGGCGGGCTCGCAGCCCGGGCGGGGAGCATGTCACTGCACGCTCTTTCGTCATTTCTGAACCGTGAACCGTGTAAATCTATCATCTGCTCAAAAATTAAATTAATAGAGAGGGAAGAAACAGCATGATTGATAAAGCTCTAAAAGGGATGCCGAATTACATGCTCCCCAAATGAAGATGTCGTGCATTTTTCAGCTGCTCATTTTTATGTTTTTAAATGTCTTGGCATTTCTGCCCTGGCTGGTGTGGCTCAGTGGACTGAGCACTGGCCTGCAAACCAAGGGGTCACTGCCTGGGTTGCAGGCCACATCCCCAGTAGGGGGCGTGCAAGAGGCAACCACACATTGATGTTTCTCTTTCTCCCTCCTTCCCCTCTCTCTAAAAACAAATAAATATTTTAAAAGTTGTATTTTTGTAAAAAATATTGGTGTTTCCGAAAGTTTCCAAACCTTCAAGTACCAAAAAACACCTGTGCCTCCTAAGGACTTTGGGACGTAACACCTGTGGGCAGCCGCGGTTCACTTCCGAGAGTCAAGGTGAACTGGTCCCCGAGGAAACACCACTCTTTGGACAGGGGACTGTTAATCCTGCGCAAAAACGCTGTTTTATGACCAAAAACTAGGCACAACACATACACACCAGCCCTCACCTCGCCGTGCCCTCCTCAGAGCCCCGCCCCACGCAGACCTCCTAGAGCCGGGCCTGGGGGGCCTCCGCGCGGATGAGGCTGCACACGTGACCTCGGTTTTGTGGGGGCTTTTCTGTAAGTCCGGTCGTCCCAGAGTCGCCTGCTTCGTTCGTGATGAAGCTGCTTTTCATCCTTTCAAAGGTGTGGATGAAGCTCGTAAGAACAACACTGGTATACACTCAAAATTACTATCCCGAAAAATAGACATGAGCGTCTTAGTAAAGCTGATGAGACGTGATCAGGGAACCTGGCCCCCAGGGCTGGTTCTGTGCAGCACACAAGAAGGGAGGCGTCGTCGGCCCCTCAAACTGCCCGCCCTGCTTGGCAGCAGCGACCTCTGTCCTGAGCTGGGTGTCCGTCATTCCCTTACGAGCCTCATGTAAGTCCACGCAGTCCACAGGGCAGGACCACGGGCTGTTTCTCGTCCAACCTCCATGCTCCTCCGCCGTGAAGCGCTCCTGCTGAGCCCCGCTGTGACCCGCAGCTCGGCCCCTCAAGGGTCATGCGTCCTTGCCCAGGTCACAGCTCTCGGTGCCTCTGTGCCCTCGTCAGTGAAACAGCCGAGGGCAGCTCCACCTGTGGGCTGAGTGTGGGTGTGAAGGACTTAGTCTCTGTGAGGCTTGGAGCCACGCCCCACAGGTCGCCAGTGCTGTGGACAGACAGACGGGCGGACACGGGGACTTCGTCTTAGAGCTGAGGACACTGAGTCTTAGATCAGTTACGTCACTTGTCTCGGTCCCACGGCTAGTGATGAGCAGAGAGCCCAAGGGCCAGACGGGGTGTGTGTCCCATCCCCGGCACCCTCCTCACCCCCAGAATTCCGAGCTCTCCGTCACGGCGAGTGACACGCCTGTCCCGTTGAACTGCATTGTGGGGCTTTCTGCAAACCTTTACTGACTGCGGTGACGCTGGTCCCGTGTGGACCGAGTGCTCCTTCACAGACAGGTCAGACTTGGGAGGAGTAAGTGCGTTGGGGCCGCTGTAGGAAACCTGAGTTGGATCACAGGGGGAAGACACAACTCCGGGAAGAGATTCACAGGCGGGTGGCGTGGCGACCCACAGGAGCACCTGTCCCCCTGGAGTCCGGCAGCAGACCAAGGCCTCCGCAGCTGGGATTTGGGGACAACACGGAGACCATGGCTGTGGTGTGAGGGTTGTCGGGCCCCCTCCGGTCCGTGGGGCCCCTGGGAGTCAGGGTGGCTCTGCCTGAGGGAGAAGCTGGGCCTGAAGTGCCACCCCCTCTCCATCTGTCCTCGGAGACTCGCCTGCTGCCTCCCTCCATGAATCCGCCCGAAGGCAGGGGCGGGTGGGCCTCATGACGCCCCCAGCAGGGGTCAGCGTCCAGGGTCCACAGCAAGGCCGAGGTGGGGGCCCGACCAGCACCAGCCCGCCCTTCAGACCGAAAAACAGCCCTCACCTCGACCGGACTCTATTCAAAGGCTATCGTTTTCGTTTTTCAACAGGTTATTGAGGATATTATTGCCAACCAAGAAGAAGAAGAAAAAAACAAAAAGAAAAACAAGACACAGGAAAAGAAAGCCAAAAAAAAGGAATTAAAGAAAGGAAAAAAAGAAAAAGATAAGGTAAGGCATTTGGAATTTTAGAAATTTGAGGCTTTTCGCTCCTTGGCTTGGAACCAGTGGGGAAACGTCGGATCCGCCGAGAGGGCGGGCCCTCGCTCCCCAAGAACCGCGCTGCCTGCCGCCAGGTTTCAGGGCGGATCCGCGTCGGCCGACGGTCGGTGGCCACCTTTTCTCTGATCTATAAATACCTATTAGGATGACAGGTGGTTGCAACAACTCAGACGCTGTCCGTGTTAAGTCACATATGGGACCGATTTGCGTTTTCATTCCTCGGAATAAACGGTCCCACGAGTATCTCCTCGGGGTAGAGATAAGGAAAATTGTTCAGCAAACCATGCGACCGCCACAAAGTCAAATCATTGTATCGACTTCAACCAAAGTGAGGTCTTTCGGATTCATCACTTAATACTGACGTGTTGGGTATATTTTCATGGAAGCTTTTGTTTCTCACTGTCCAGGGCGAGTCAGGGCTCCAACAGCGGCTTTGGGTCAGGTCTTGCCTCATGCCGGGGGGGGGGGGTAGCGGTGAGAGGAGACTCCCTGCTGCTCACGTGGGGCACCGCCTGCCGCACTGGACGCCCAGCCCCCAACTACCCGGAAGGGCGCTCAGACTCCGGGTCTGACAGAGCTGAACATATGAGGTCACTCCACACCCCCAGGGCAGCTGCACCCAAGGGGGGGGCGTCACGTCAGGGGACAGAGACTCGGCCCCTCACCTCACCGGTCAACTCCAAGGGGTCCCCCCAGCTCCTGGGCTCCCTCGTGACTGTGCGACAGTCGGCTGCCCGCTGTCCCCCTCTGTGGGCGCTGCCCCCCCGCTCCAGCTGGGCACCCCAGGGACGCCAGCCCGGGAGGCCCCCGCTGCCCTGCTAACCTGCCCGTGCCTGGTGAGCTCTAAGTTGCTCCCTCGAGCCCCCGGAAAAGACAGCTGCCCGGATAAAGTGAGTTTTAGTCATCCTCCTGTCACTCGGCAAGGTGATTCGTAAGCAGTGCCCCCGAATAAGGAAGAGGGGAGGAATTTCTGTTTCATTCTAAGCCTCTCTTCCTTTCCGGAGGCACCAGGGTGTTTAACACTTGCAAATTAAAAATGCACTGTTAGTGAGGCTTGTTACCGGAAACAGCCCCTCTGTGCGTGTCCCTCTCCGAGAAGTCCTGTGTGTGCCCCTCCCGGTGCAGAGAGCGCCCCGGTGACTGGCTGCTGAGTGCGGCGGGCCAATCGAGGCCCTCGGGGTCGGGGTTGGGGTTGGGGTCGGGCTGCTCCCAGCCGGCAGCCACCCTCTGTTCAGACTCTCCAGCCACGTGGGGAGCGGTGAGGGTAGCGATCGGGAAGTTTCGTCAGAAAGGACAGGGTCAAGGGAGTCGCCATGCCAGAGCATGTGCGCTTGTAAGACCCCTGACAGCAAAAGACCCCCAGAAAGTGACAGGCTGAGGCGGTGGATTGAAACCTGCCTGCCGCATTTTCCTCTCCCAGGATTTGTCAACATGAGCAGAATACCCGGTGTTTAAAGGGGCAGCCAAAGGCAGGGGTGCGTCCAGCGACCTGCGAGCTGTGGACCAGGGAGGGACGGCTTTGGAGAGGAAGCAGAGGCTTCTGACGGCAGTAAAAGGCCGTCTCCCGTGACTGCCGCTAACACTGGCGCTGCGTGGAGGGCTATGCCTACGACGTCACAGGGGTGTGGGCAGGCGGTGGCGCTCTAGGCTGTGAGGACCGGATGCCCCCCGAGCTGGCCGCACGGGCCTTGTTCCCTGGAGAACTTCACATTTATCGTAGAAGTGAAGCTGTAGGAACAGACCAATCAGTCTGGTTCTCGCCGACGTGCCCTGAGCACCTGTTCAGGGACGTGGCGTGGGGCTGGTTCCATGGGGGGTGCAGAAGGTCAGTGAGGTGGGCGCTGCCCCTGCGTCCCCGAGCCCAGGAGAGCAGTGAAGACGCGAGTACGTGGCCAGTCGTCCGTGTCCACACAGAGACCCAGAGGCCAGGAAGCTGAAGCAAGTCCTGCTGAGCCAGTGGAAGGCGGGTTTGACCTGGGGGAGTCGAGGAGGAGGGGACGTGTGCCCAGACCCGCCTGGAGTTTTCCACAGAGGAGGAAGGGGAAGGAAGTCTGCCCAGAGAGGAGGCGGCCACTCCCTCCCCTCCGGCCTTTTCCCACACGCCCGCCTGGCAGCTGTCCCCAGGAGCAGACCCACCGGGTCATGCGGGCTCCTGCTGGGGGTGGAGGGTGGCCTGCGGGAGTCTCCCGGGGCCACGCCCTCTCCCCTCCCCGCCAGCCTGCGGTCTGTCCACTCGCCTGCCGGGCACAGCAGCTCATCCCTCAGTTGTGGGAACGTGGCCCTCCCAGCCCAGGGGCCACACACGCTCCCCCTGCTGAAGCATTTCTCCCACCAGGCTCCCTGGCCTGGGGCGCCCTCCTCGCACGAAGGCACACGCTCACACCTGCAGGGGCCCCTGAGGCCACACACATGGAGGACCGTCCGAGTATCCAGAACGCAAACGACATCACAGTTGGCACCGCACTGACCGAAGGAGATCAGAGGCCCATGAGTCGTTAGGGACACCCGAGGACAGGGGTAAACACCGTCCCAGAGAACGCTGATTGGAGTCCTGGAAGTCTCCAGGAACAAGCTCCATGGCCACACTGCCTGCAATGCTGGTCTTCCCGGGTTTGCCCTCACAGATTTGCTCAAACCACAGGGTCTGGGGCCAGTGAGCCAGGCTGCAGCGGCCGGCCCTGGGCCCTGCGGGGGGGCCGGTTTCACAGGCAGCTTGGTGGCTCCTGGAAGAGGGGTGGGCGCTGCCCCTGAGCCCCTGGCACCCTGGGTTCATGTTCTTTCCCAGGTCCTGCAAGGCAGGTGGCCCCCCTCCCAGCTGCAGCAGCCCCTGCGTGAGGTGTGAGCCGTGGTTCCGAGCAGGCCCTCCCTGGCTGAGTCCTCCAGCCCCCAACCCCTTCCTCATGGCTCCCCCCCTGCCACACGGGTGGGGGGGCCAGCACGGGGGTGCTGTGCAGACCATCTGGTGGCCGAGCCTCCTCTCAGATGTGGAGAGAGCACCATGTTTTGGGAAGCTCCCGTGGATGTAACGCAGATGCGGTGTCCCCCTGCCACCGGTGGGGGACAGCCACAGTGGTAGTGTCATTAGGCCCCTGGCGCTCTCGATACGGTAGAAACACCATGGCCCAGAAATGCCAGGTGAGGGTTTGTGAGGCCTGGCTGTCACCGCTGGAAGCAGAGGCGCCATCGTTGGAAGTGGGGGGAAGGAACCTGGGGGGCCAGGAAGGCCTCGCTGGGCAGAGGCAGCGTCAGGGACCAAGGGCTGGGGGGCGGGGGGCGCTCTGTGGTGGGGCCCAGGGCACGGAGGCCGCAGGGCCTGGGGCCCAGGAAGGAAGCTGGGCCTCCAGCTCCAGGCGGGGGTCGTGGTGGCGTCCTGGCCCCGGGAGGGACAGGCAGGCAAGAGGAAGGAGCAGCCAGGCACAGAGTGACACAGGGCGGAGCAAACGGGAGCAGTGTCAATGCGGACTCAGGGAACATGGTGGAGGGAAAGGGCAGGACCAAACTCAGGGCGTGGGGGACCACAGCGGAGGGACCGAGGCAGAAAACCGGTATCGGGGGCCCTCGCGAGCCAGCACACAGAGCTGGGTGTCCAGAGCCGGGTGTGTCCTGTGTCGGACCCACCCCTGGGCGCTGTCAGGGCGGAGGGGGCGTGGGGCAGGCGGGGCCGGGCTACGATCCACACCTGGGGAAGGGCCGGGGCGCTCGGCCACGCTGACCGCAGCCACTGTCCAGCCCTGACAGACACCCTGTGCCTGCGACTCACAGAGACACTTTCTGCATTGACAGGAGGAAGAGGAAGCTTGGAAGATGTCACCGAGCGTTTTCCTTCCGGCGATAGAGGAAGGAAACAGCGTGTACAAAGGTCAGTTCCGGAGAGGAAGCGTGACGGCGGCAGTGTCCCCCTGTCTGGAAGCTCAGTGCCCAGGAGGGAGAGGCTGCGGATGTGCCCCCTGGGGCCCAGGCCCCTGCCCGTCTCTGTTTTAAAATTCCCCAGGGTGAAAAAGCAACATACAAATAAGAAAAGAACATAATCCGAACCTCTGTTCGGTTTCGAACCCTCGCTGTCCACATCCTCCTGCTGGTGAGGAAAGTGGGGACGGCCATGCCCTGGAAGACCGACGCGGGCCCAGGGAAACCTTTGGAGCCTCTGGGCCAGACCTGCCCCGGCACTCACGCCGTCCTTTGCCACTCGGCACGCTCAGCCCAGCCCCATCCGGTGGGGCAGCCCGTGTGGGACCCGGCCTTTCAGACAGTTCCATGGTGACTTACGAGAACACTCCACCCTCAGCGTAAACCCCAGCACAGAGGGGCGCCCCAAGATGACGCTGGTCCTGCAAGCTGGATGGGAATTCCTGGAAACCCAGCAGGGCACCAGGCCGAGCCTCCAGAGCTCGGGGAGGCCTGTGTGCTCCCCCCACTCCCCCATCCACCGGTCCTGCCTGCAGGCACGAGCTCTCGTTTCTGTGATGGCGTGTTTTCTGCTCCCAGTTGTACCTGATACGTTGAGCCTCAGCCGCGTGACCTCACTGTCCTCTGCGGTTGGATGTTCCCATTTCTCAGAGTAAGGGCGTCTGCTCCGGGGACACGGACCCGCAGGAGAAGCTTGGAGGAGAGGACACTGCGGGTGGTCGGGCAGCCGCTTCCATCAGGGGGAAGGCGGTGGGAGGGGCGAAGTCCTCCTTACTCAGTGCCTGCGACAGTGCAAGGCATTGTGTTCCCCACGCAGGTTCCAGCTCGTCGCTGCCACCGGGACAGGCACACGTCACTGTCCCCTCACCCGTGGGCACCAATAGAAGGCCTGCCGTCGTTCAGGTGTGAGGGTCCATGCACTCTTTATCCAACACCAGGGCGGACCGTCACCATCGACGACCCCGTTCCCTCGCATATCCACTCAACAGCCATTGGCTGTCTCTGGTGTGCCGGGCCACGCCAGCTGGAGAGGCAGAGATGGCACATGCCCTGTGCACGCCTGTGGGAGTGGTGGTGGGTGCCCTGATGCACAGGGTGGCTTTTGCAAGCCGAGCCGGCCGCAGCAACACCCCACGGGCACAGCTGGGAGTTGCACAGGTTGGGGAACGCGCCGGGTGGGGAGGGCTGGGGTGGTCGGCCACCAGCCCTCTGGTGTGCGCCCCCGCGAACAGTGTTTGGAAGGGCACCTCTCCACTCAGCGCTGCCCCCAGCCCTTCACGCAGCCCTCGCTTGTCCCGCCGTCCGTCCGACCTCCGAGCGCTCTCCCCACGCTGCAGACACCTGGGGAGACTGTCCGCCTCATCTTCCCCACGGCCCCCGCTCTCGGTGCCCGGGCCTTCCCGTGCCTGCCCCCCGCCGTCACCCCTCGTCCTCTTGTTGCCCCGTGTTGCGGTGGAGCCTGTCCTCCAGGGCGTCCTGGGCACAGGAGCTCGGGCACCATGTCCATCTACACACTGTCCTGCACTCCCACTCGGCGACCGTCTCCCCCGGGTTGGGAAGGCCTGGCTCCCCTCTCCTCTGATGGCCCCCCGTGGAGAAAACGGGGGGAGGGGCAGAGAGTGGGTGGGGGCAGGATCCTGCGTGCACCTCCTGGGAGGTTGGGGGCTCATGGTTGGGGTTGGTGGGTCAGCAGGGAGCTGTGCAGGTGCACACGCAGACCCAGGAGAAGACCCGAGAAACAGCTGGAGCCCACGCGAGAACACACCGCTGCACCCTGCTCTTGTGGGCGGGGCTCTTCCTCCCACCGGCCAGCCTCGCTCCCACCTCAGGGCGCCAGCACCTTCTGTTCCCCATGGCTGGTCTGCTTGTCCCTGCATCCCCCCGCCCCCACCCCCACGCTGGGCCCGACCCTGACCCACCTTGACTTGCCTCCCTCTGACCTGGCTGTGCATGTCCGCTGTCTTCCTGAAGGGGGACACCGAGTCCCCAGGGGCAGGGCCTGCTACCCTCCGCCCTTCTGAGAGCAGCGCGTGGCTGGCCAGTGGGCTCAGTGACGTCACAAATTTAACCGTTTGTGAATAAGTTATTCATGCAGTAGGTAAGATATGAGCAAGTCAGGTTTCTGGCTGCATCGGAGTACATCCAGTGCACCTTCTGACCGGGGGGACGGGGTCCTCAGACACAGCTGGACTGCTCCTCCTTGGGGTCTTTAACACCCCCTCGTGTCATCTGATGCAATGTACACGCGGCATTTTGATAGAAGCAAATGGGAATTTGGGGAAATCTCATGTTTCCATGGGAAGCCAAGCCTTTTAACCGCACTGACTCGTCCAGGAAAGCTCTCGAGACTGCACGCCTTTTGTGTAAGATCTGTTTCCATTAAGGCTAAAGAATTAAAGTAAAAATCCCGCTCAGCGCCCTCCCGGAGCCCACAGGGTCAGCGCCCGGCTAGATGTGGGGCGTCATGTGGATTATCTGCCAGGTAGTCATCGACGTAAAGAAATGAAGTGTCTTCTCCAACCCCTTTTCTGCAAAATCAAAGGTTCCCCTTTTCAAATAAACTTAACATTTTAATCACCGTGATGAAGCCCCTCCCTTGTCACCCAAATGTGTGGAAGTGCCCGGCCCGCTTTTCAGGGCCCGGATAAAGGCTCATTCTCCGGGGTTTGTGGAGAGTGCAGGGCAGCGCTCGCCCTGAGGGCCAGCAATGACCATTCCGCTTCCCGAAATCTCCAGCAGCCACTGGGAGCTGCATCAGCCTGCAGCGTGGAGACCCAGCACTGCGTTTGGGGAGCCGGAGCTGCGGTCCCACAGCTCCCTGCCTTACAGTGTCCTGTCCTGGGGGGCCCTGACTCTGACCCCCCAAGAGGATATGTTCACTGGCCCCCAGACGCCCTTCTCCCACAAGGCTGACCCATGTCTGCCCTTTGGGCACAGTTGTCTCTGGGCGGCCACACCACACTGGCTGGTGGTTGCAGGTTTGGGTCCCTCGAATTTCCCTCATATCCTGAACACAGAAGGCAGGGGGAGAGCTTTTCCCAAACTGGCCCCCTTGTCCTCCGGGGGACCCCCCAGTCCCACCACCCGTGACCTGCACCTCATGAGGCATAAACTTGGTTCCCGCTGACTCGACGATACGAAGTTCCCCTCGTTTTCTGCAGGGTCCCCTTTCTCTCCCGCCCTCCTGGTGCCAGGGCGGGGCGAGAAGGGTGTGTCCACTGTGTGCGACTTGGTGCGGCTGCTGAACTGGGGCAGGGCGGGTGCCCGCATGCTCAGGGTGTCTTTCAGTAGGGGGTCGGGGTCGCATGCTGATGGGTTGAACTGGCAGCAGAATCTTGCCTAGTTTAGCGAATCATTTGAATAATGAAAGTAACGCCAAACGTTTCACAAAGTCTCCCCACAATGGTATCCTCCCACACCGCACACGGTCTTATGTGGCTGCGATTGTGCCGAAAAGAGCCCCTGGCACGGTGTCCTTCTGTTGCTGTCCACACATTAGCAGTTGGCATCGCTTTTCAGATGTTACACAAGGACGTTTCTCCTGTTTGGGTCGCTGGGGGAAGGCGGTGTGAGTCCGTCACCCCCCGGTGGCTCTGTCTGTTTCAGACTCGGGCTCCATCCCTGCCACGGGGGTGGGGGGTGGACAGCGAGCGCATCACATGGGGACAGCTGCTCGTGGTGGTCCTCCTGGGGAAGGAGGGCGTCACTCTCCTTTTCTTTGTCCTTTCGGCTCACAGACTTCTGGAAGAACAAAGACGAGTCCTGGAATTTCGCCCAGGACTATGACCCCGAGTTGATCAAAGAGGAGAAGCGGAAGGAGCTGGAGTCGGAGATCCGGGTGCAGGTAGAGCCCCACTTCTCGTGTCCCCCCGTGACCGACCCGGGGCTGAGCCGTGTTCACACCTCGCGTGGAAAACACGAGGCGCACAGTCACCTAACGAGGTGTGTTTTGTGTTCTCCGAGGTCGACGAGCTCATGAGACAGGAGCTGAAAAACCTAAAGCTGGCTGTGAACAGAGAGAAGGAGCTCCCCGCCAAAGGGAAAAAGAAGAAAGGAGGTAAAAATGTGAGTAGTGAGTGAGCGAGGGGAGGGATGAGGCCAAGGGCCTCAGACTCAGACCCGCGCCCGCGCCCCAGCGGCGTGGCCAGTGGTGCTGCCCGGCTGACACCCACTGTCCCTGTGGGAACACCCCTTCCCTTCCTCAGTGTCCCTGTTGCACCATCTGGCCCCCGAGGCGATGGGGTCACCAGGGTGATGGGAGAAAGTCAGCTCTTCGCCTTGCAGATCTGTACCGCCAGGCCCTGGCCGGGGGGTGGGAGCTGTCGGAGGGGACGGGACACATGCCCCAAATGCCCGTGCATCTGCCCCTGCAGGTAGATCCCATGGGTGCGGGGCCAGTGACAATTAGCAAGGGCCTCGGGGGATGACTTGAGTGTTAAATTGCCGCTGACCCACATTGCAGAGCTTTGGAGCAGCTGGTGGGCTCCCGGGCCCCTGGCCAGGCCCCGTGAGATCGTGGGAAATTCGGAAACTCTCTGCGCCTGTTGCAGGCTCAGAGTTTTTGAAACCCCTGCAGCTGCCTCAGTGGCAGGAGCACTGGGAGCCCCAGCTGTCCTAGGGGCGGCTCTGGGTGGCTCCCGGGTGGGAGGTGTCCCAGAGCCAGGCCGAGGGGAGCAGCACAGGACCACCAGCCCCACCTCCCACTCCGGCTGAGGGAGCCTGGCCGGGGATAGGGCTCCCCCCTGTGCTCCCCGAGGTGGGGAAGCCTCCGTAGCGTTTTCGGGGTGGTGCGTGCACCCACATACCAGGGGGTGAGGCACCACAACCGTACAGGGCAGGAGCTCCCGCCCTGGGGACCTTCCCCACCCCCACCCCGAGTCTCGCTTCCTCTGGCTGAGTGTCTGTGCCCTTCACATCAGTGGACGCGCTCCTCTGAGGGCCGTGAGCCGTTCCCGCACATGGGCGGGGCCCTCTGCTCCGGGGCCCCTGGGGCCAAGGCACCATCCTGTGCACGGGACAGGAGCGGCCCTCCGCATCCCGCTGCCCCCGTGCCGACCGCAGGCCGAGCCACCAAAGAACGGGTTACCTCGGCTCTGGGCCGATTCCCCTTTTGGGGGACGTCTCTGGGGTCCATTTCTCCGACGGTCACGCCCTCTTCATAGATTAACCCACATGCATGCGCCAGGCGGCGTCCACACAGTGGCAGCACTGGCCCTGCCTCTCGGGGCCACCTGCCCCGAGACGCTCTCCTGCCATGATCGCAGAGCCTTCAGGCCCCCAGCGTCCGGGGACCACAGCGCCCCTTGAGAGTCAGACTCCCCCCGAGTGCTAGCGCACGTAGGTGGGAAAATTGTTCCACTGATACAGAAACTCAGACTCTAAAGAAGCAAACGAACGTTCTAGTGGGGAGTGCGGTGTCAGCACCGCGCACAGCAGGAGGCCCGTGGGGCTCACAGACAGGTCCGTGAGAACCGCGACCACGCAAAGAAAGAACACAGGATGCAAAGGACAACGTCAGGACACAAAGGACAACGCGAAGAAGCGGCAACTCGCCAGTGACCGGCGCCGGGGGAGGCCACCTGCGGCCCCTGCGAGGGCTTCACCCACAACCACAGAAAGGGGGGAGTCTCAGGTCAAGCGTCTAAGCTCCCACCCTGAGGACCTAGGAAAACAAGAGCAAAAATAAACAAAGTAAGCAGAGAGAAGAAAACAATACAAACCAAGCAAAACTTATTGAAACCCAAACCAAAAAGCAATAGAGAAAATGGATGCAGTGAAGCTGGCCTTGGAAAACAGTCCATAATCTCGTGCGACTGACAGAAAAGAGAGACTCAAATGACCAACATTAGCAGTGACACGGAGGAAGTCACTGCTCACCACAGACGTCAACAGAGTGACCAGTCACACTCATGGCCACTACACAAGCCGCCCATCAATACACAAGCCGCCACCAGCCACCCATCAGGGGGCGGGCCATCCGAGTAGCTCTGGAGCGGTCCATGAACTTGACTGTGACGTTGAAACAACCGCCGCACCCAGAATTTCTGGGCCCAGACGGTTCCGCTGCTGAGTGTCCCGAGCATTTAAAGGGTGGTTAACGCCACTTCTGCACGGTTGCTTCCGGAAGACAGAGGAGAACAACACCCTTCCCAACTCACTCCGAGTGGCCAGCATCACCGTTTCAACAGCCGACGGCAGCACCGACAATGGGAGCTAAGGGCCGTCACCCTCCGTGAAGGCAGATGCAAACGCCCTTCACGTAATAGTGCCAAGCAGAACCCAGCAACGCATGTAAAGAATTCTGACCCGTGGACAAGTGGGCTCGTTCCAGGAAGGCCCCGTTGGGTCAATACCTGAAAATGAACGCTCTCCTCCAACTCAGCCAACAGGCCACAGAAGAAAAGCACAGGGTTGTACCACCGATGCAGAAGACAAACACGTTTGCTGCAACTTGGTGCCCCTCACAGCAGGTCTCTTGGGACAGCTGGGACAGGGACTGAGCGTGATAAGGAGCACCCGCCAGGTGGCGGCAGCCGACTGTCCACCTCGCGGCGGAAGAGGCCACCTTCCCCTGAGCCCAGAGCAAGGCGGCTGTGCCGGGAGCTTCAGCCAGTGCGCTGGGCAGGACGGGGGCGTGCAGGGGCCACGACGGTGGGCTGGTCGTGGCAGGAAGGTGAGTGTGACCGTGGAAGGTCCAGGGCCAGAGGAGGAAGGTCGCAACGCTCGGGGCCACCGGGGAGGCAGCTCACGCGGCTTCCACAGGGGCCACCTCACCCTCTGCCCACCCGGGGACACAGCCCTCCACTCACGAGAGCATGGCAGCTGTCCACTCCATGTCCAGGCACCACAGCCGCCTCAACCAGACACCAGCGCCCCCAGCTGATTTCTGCAGTTCATTTGCTTCCTTATGTTTCCTGAATTGTTGGATGTTTGCATTTTCTTCCAGAAAAAGAAGGGGAAGAAAGGCAGAAAAGGGAGAAAGGAGAAGGATAGAGACCTGACGGCCGACAGGTGAGGGGTGCGTGTGTGCTGCTGTAAGGCCTGGGAGGGGGCACCCCGAGAGGAGAGGGGACACAGCCTGAGTCCCAGCCATGGTCCGGCAGCGGCCCCGTGGGTGCTCCACCCCCACTGTGCTCCGTGGATGTCGTGGGGACAGTGCCGGACCTCGGTGGTGCAGGCCTGTTCAAAGGGCTGCGCCCTCCTGGGAAGGCGCACCCCAAAGATGAGCCCGGGGCAAACTGGGGCCCACTGCCCCTGAGTGCGTGGGACTTTTTTTAGGTTTTAAAACCCATGAGGTTCTTAAGAAATTGTTTAAAATACAGCATCCTGATCCAACTTTTGAGGAAATACTGAGATACTCCAAGACAACATCTGTTTCATCAAATTAATAGAAACCTTACACCAGTGTTTCTGTAATAGTTTGAGGTCATTTTAAAGTTGAAAATGTGCCCCATGCAAAAGTCCATTTGGCTGGAAAGATTCCAGATAGAGGTTTGGGGGGGGGGCTTCTTAATATATTGTTTTGATTATTTCAGAGAAGATTCAATTTTATGCTAATGTTCTGTGCATGCTCTATGTTTACATTAGAGAAATGACTCGAGTTAAACACTGCGGCCCTTGACAAAGGTCAGGCGCTGCTAACCCAAACGCCAACGCAGTCAAGGCCTCCGCAATTCTCAGCAGAGGATGCACGGCTTTAAGTAACTTCGGTAGAACAGAACTCCAGTCACTCAGAGTCAGGGGTCATTGAATTAACATTTATCCCAGTGGTATCTGGCTCCAATCGGATATTCCAGAGTCTTTTAATCATGCAAGCGAAGATCCTGGCGCAGCCGAGAGCTGTTTAAATACAGTCATATTTACAATTCTTCAGTCTGAAGAAAGACTCGGGCAGGATCAGAGAATAAGGCCCCTAGAAAAAAAGGGGCCAGTGGTGGGGGGGAGACAAAACATGTCATAGAATCGGACTCGGCCGACTGAGTCCCTGCAAGCCGAGCGCCAGGCAGCTCCACCAGGGATCTCACTCCCCCAGCGAGACAGTGTCTCCATTTGTCACCCTGGGCGCCATAAATCCCCTGCGAGCTGGCTCCGTGCCCGAGGGCCTCTCGGAGAAGTGGTTGGGACCCCGGAAGCACCGGGGAGAAGCCCTCCTGGAAGACCCTCTCATTCAGGGCCTCAGATGCTGCCTCTCTGGCGCTAGAATTATTTCCCTGGGAGTCTCGTTCTTCATAGATGGCTCTCTCAAACTCTTATGCCAGTGGCTTGAAAGGAAACATCAATTTCACGAAGGATTAGTGATCCACCACGGCTCGCAGACGCTGACTGAATCTGTAATTGCGGGCTCCTTCTGTTCCTCTCAGTGGGTGACTGCTGGTTCACGTCCGTGCCATTGTGAAGGCCGATGGGAAGGCAGGCTGCGGGGTGACCGCTGCCCTCCGCCGCCCAAGTCGTCGCCCACTAAGGGGGACATCAGCTGGACACATGGAGGCGTGACAGCATCATCTCTAAAGAGTCTCAGTTATCCCCGAATTGTAGAAAGGCCCCCGCAGCCCATTTCCTTGCCTGTACCCAGAGGCACCCTGAAACGGGGCAGGTTACAGGGCCCTGCCCGTGTGCGCCACTGACGGCCCCCTCTTTCCAGAACCATCGAGTCCCTGTACAAGGAGCTGGTGGAGGAGGGGCTGCTGGTCCAGGCCCGGAAGGTCAGCCTCTCGGATTACATCGGTAAGGCACCCAGGGAACCGCGTGTGCGGTGGCCAACCTTGGGCTTTGGGTTCCCCGAAGCCGATATGTGTTCCATGAGCATGTCGGGGGGCTGCCCCCAGACCCAGCCCGGAGCGGCTGGTGGTGTTTGCTGGGCTTGAACTGACGTGAACGCATTCTGTGCTGTGAGCCCGGGGGTCTGGCTCTCTCCCCTCATGTGGCAGCGGCAGGGTTTGGAACCCCCCGGCCAGGTCCCCGGGGCCTTCTGGCCTGTGCCTCGTGGAGGATGAGCCTTCATGTGTGCACGCGTGCCGAGGGGACGGCCGCTGGCCCTGCCACAGCTCGGTCCTTCCAGGAGGGACCTTCCGGGGGGGGGGGGCGCTGCCACCGAAGTGGGTGGGAGGAAGACAGTGGGGACACGGGTTGTGCCCAGAAAACACAGCTAAAATTAAAACTCGGCACAGTCTCCCCACCCAGTGCAGGTGTGGTTTTCACTGGCACACCCACGGAGGACAGGGACCTTCTTCTGCGCGGCCACAGGAGGGCAGTGATGCCCGCAAAACCCGACACCGATGATCAGTTTCACCGGGGGTCCCCACAGTGTCCCCTGTTCCTGTTTGTGTTTTTCAACCCAAATCCCATCAAGAACCTCCGGCGGACGAGTGGGCCGTTTCCTTCCCGCCTCCTTCCGGCCGTCTTCCCCGGGACGGTGGCCGGCCTACCCGTCCTCCCTGGCATCGGCTGTCCGGACAGTCCGAGCTCTTTCTCAGACTGCGCTCCAGCTGCCGAGGTTCGACGGTTTTCGTAGGGCGTGACTCAGAGCCAACATCGGTGCCATGCCGGGAGAGCCACGCAGGTGATGCCGCGTCCTTCTCCGCATTTCACCTTGGGGACACACTTCTTTCCACCGCTGGTGGCAAGTTCAGTCGCTGGCGAGTGAGCTGTTCCCCAGCTTGCTCACATGTGGAACCCCGCTTTCCACTCTGTCATCGTGGACGACGGGGGCAGGGGTTGCCTGGAGGCTTCAGAGGCTCCGCTTGCGGCCGTCTTGACGGGGTGAGCCCCCGCGGCGGGTGTCCGGTGGGGACCCTCTGTTTCCAGCCCCCATTCTGCACTCGTTCACCCTGTTTGTCCAGGAAGAGACGTCCCCCACCCTCCCTGTGAATCTGTGGTGTCACTGTGGGCACTTGTACTCTCTCTGTTTGTGATCACGTTATAATTTGGTTCCATCTTATTCACTCTTACATTTACATTCACCGGGTCAGTCTGTGGGAGTGAGAAGGCTGATCCCGTCCACGGATCAGAAACGATGACTCAGCCCCCCCCCCCCAAAGGCACGTCTCCCCCTCCAGGCTTGGAGGGGCCTTCCTATTTTCTAAAGGCGCAAGGGTTTTCCCAGGGCAGATACTGCGCTATGTGGGGGGGTTCTGTGCTTTATGTGTTTTCCTGTTCAGGTGCCTTGGGGTTTTCGCCCGGACTCCTTTGATTATATTCCATTGATTCTGTTAATGTGAAAAAATAACATTTTAGCAGAGCCCTGTCTCTGCACTCGTAGTTGGGATGCGCCCTCCCTCCCGGCCTGTTCTCTCCTTCCGCGTCACGCAGGTCCTGCCCGCCACCGACCCCTCGTGGTTATTCGGTGCAGCGCCTGGCCTGCGCAGTCGCGCAGACTCGCGGGCCCACATCTTGCCGCCTTACTGGTTCCTTCTGGACTTTTCCAGTCACTTCTCGGTCAGTTCCCTTGAGCCGCCTGAGGCCCCGGTGAATGGGGTCAACGCCGCAGCGTGAGGTCAGTGGAAATGACCTCCTCTGACGACACTGTGCACACCGCCACCAGGGCTGACGCCCTTCAGTCTCTCCCGGGTTCCCTCACCTTTTCCAGGTGAGGCCCTAGGCTTGGAAGGTGGCGGTGGGTCTTCCTGATCCGCCCATTTAGGAGGCAGACTGACTAGGTCACAAATACAAAAACCCACGGACAGCACTTACACCCAGACTGCGTGGCAGGGTTGCCACGGGGACAGGGGACAGGAGACAGAGTGCTCTCTGGGAAGCGCAGCGGGGGTGGGGAGGCGGTTGCCCACCTCACTAGCAGACGCGTGCCAAGGGGTAAGATAGGACGTGGCGGCGGGGGCAGCCCGCCCCCTGTGACCCGCCACGACCCCCTTCCGAGAAGGCCCTCCTCTGGGAAGACACTCTCGGGAACAGCGTTACGATTGCACAGGACGGGGACCCTAGAGACCAAACAGGAGGGCCAGAAGAACTGGGGAGGGCGCAGACCCAGGGCGGGCGAGAAGGCAGACCGCCACCGCGCTGTGAACTCAAATGAGAACAACAGAAAGGAGGCTTCCGTGTTTTCAAAGCTGCCCGAGCTTCTTCTAAAAAAAGGACTATCACTGCACATCAGTTTCGGCCGGGGACAGTGTTCCTGGTGACAGCTCATGCAAAGCGCCAGTGAAAAAGAAAGAGTGGGCAGAAATTTACACCCCGGAGGGACACGGCCACACAGCAGGTGGAGCTGGAGCCTGCCCTTCCCACCACACTCACAGCTCGGAGGGAGTTACACTGGCTGTCGCCGCCCACTTTTCAACGGGGCCGCGTGTCTTCCTGGAGGGGAGTCGGGCGAGGTCTTTATGTATTTTGGAGGTCAAGCCCTTGTCCGAGGTGTCACTGGCAAGCCCATACGGTTGGTTCATTTTGCCAGTGTTTTCTTTAGCCGTGCAGAAGCTTTTTACCCTGATGAGGTCCCACTTGATTATTCTGTCCTCTGTGTCCCTTGCTCTAGGGGACATATCGGTGAAAACACTGCCATTTAGAATGTCTGAGATTTTCCTGCCAGTGTTCTCCTCTAGGACTTTCATGGTGTCACGACTTACATTTAAGTCTTTTATCCACCTTGGCTTTATTTTGGTGTATGGTGTAAGTCGGTGCTCCAGTTTCATTTTTTTGCAGGTAGCTGTCCAGCTCTCCCAACACCATTTGTTGAAGAGGCTATTTTTACTCCGTTTTATGCTTCTGCCCCCTTTGTCAAATATTAGCTGCCCATAGAGCCTTGGGTTTATTTCTGGGCTCTCTGTCCTGTTCCACTGGTCTATGTGTCTGCTCTTACTCCAGTGCCAGGCTGTTTTGATGACAGTGTCCTCATAATACAGTTTGATATCAGGTGTTGTGATCTCTCCTACTTTTTGGGGTCATTTATGGTTCCATATAAATTTCTGAAATGTTTGTTCTATGTCTGTGAAATATGCCATGCGTGCTTTAACAGGGATTGTGTTGAATCTGTAAATTGCTTTGGGTAGTGTGGACATTGTGATGATGTTAATTCTTCCAGTCCATGCACACGGTCCATGCTTCCATTTGTTCACGTCTTCCTTGATTGTTTTCTTCAGTCTTGTGTACTTTTCTGAGTACAGGTCTTTTACCTCCTTGGTCAGGTTTATTCCTAGGTATTTTATTTTTCTTGTTGCTATAGCAAACGGGATTTTTTTTCCTGATTTCTATTTCTGGTATTTCATTGTTGGTGTACAAAAATGCCTTTGATTTCTGAATATTGACTTTGTGAGAACATATAGAATTAGAGTGATTCAGGTATGAGTCAGCAAAACCTAAGGAATGTTAGTAATAAGGGGAAATTCATTTTTAAAAAACTGAATTATCATGACAAAGTCCACAGATAATGCTTTAAGAGAAGTAAAATGTGAAATGGAAATTTTAAAAACTAAACCGGGTGGTGACGAGCAAGAGCAAATGGATTCTAAAGAAGGTAACGGACTGAGGGAGGCAGAGAGGGTGCGGCCGACAGACGGCGGGTCCCCGAGAAGGGCCCAGGCAGGAAGGAGCGGGCAGACACTAGGAACTGTTATTCCTGGGACGCTTCCTGGAGGGGAAACGCAAGCCGTGCAGGGGAAGGTCTCCCTGTGTCCCAGGCCATCCCCCCGCTAACCAGCAGCAGGACGTTTGAACAAACATGCCAGACGTTGGAGGAACGGGGGGAAGATGGGGGTATCGCCGCGATCCTCGGGGGCCACATTTTGGCGTCACGGGGGCACTGACAGGGCTGGCTATGCTGTGAGGTGACACAGAGTGTCACGCAGGCTGGAGCAAGTGGGAGAGGACGGTGCAGCCTGGGGTCTGTGCGTCCGGGGGACTGAGCCTGTCCCCGTGTGGAGGAGGGAGATGCAGGCGAGGTGTGAAGGGCAGTGACGTGACCCTGCCCCTGAGCTAGCTCACCCCACCCACCTGCGTGGTGACAGGTCCCCGCGTCCCCGCCCTGGCGGACGGCGGCATCACTGCCCCGGTGTCCCCCGGCAGCACTGTCGTCTGTCCGGGGCCCTGTGGGTCTGCACGTGGCCACCGCCGCGGCGTCCCCGTCCATCGCTGTCGGAGCTCGGCCAGCTGTCCCCAAGCGGCTCCAGAACCAGTGTGTGCTCCGAACACGCGTCATCTCGGCAGGGCCGTTGCGCCAGGGTCGGCCTGCAGGGGGCTCTCTGCTCACTCGCTCCGGAAGCCCGGCGGCCTCTGTTGGGCACGAGTTCTACAGCCTTGGCCGGTGGGGCCCGGTGGTGCGAGCGTCCTCCTGTGACCGAAAGCTCGTGGGTTCGACTCCCCGTCGGGGCACAGACCTAGGTTTCGGGTTCCATCCCCGTGAGGGAGGATGGAGTTTTCTCACATCGCTGTTTCTCTCTCTCCCTTCCTCTCTCCATAAAATCGACTTTTAAAAATGTCCTCGGGTGAAGAAAAGAGTCAGAGGTCAAATTGTAGCTCATCCCCAATCAACTGGCAGCCAATCTCAAGGGCAAACAACATTTTTTTATGTCAAAAAACCCTTTTCTAAACCAGTCAGTGCCCCTGGGTTTTAACCATCTCTCATGAGTCCCATGGTGCTTTGTGCAGTCCTTGTCATTTGCGGGGGGCCGGGCGTCCTTGTGGGGGGCGGGGATGGGGGCCACGGGTCAGCAGGCATCATCCATCTTCTTGGGGCCTGCCGGGCGCTCTCACCCCTCGTCTTTGCGTGACTTATTTCAGTTGGGTCGGTCAGTTGGTTGGTTTACGAATCGCCGCAGTCTGCTTCCTCTTTAGTCTAATGCAGTGCAGGGTAGCCGGGCAGGTTGGAGGCGAAGCCCTCTCTCCTCCTCCTGTGTCTCCGTCATTTCCCATTGTAACTGTCTTTCTGTTTCCATTCTCTCCTTGTAACTGTGGCTCGGTCTTCGTTAGCTGCAGAGGGCAGCTGTGAGAGCCACACACTGAGGGGCTCTCACGGCTGAAATTTATGGCCTCGCAGTCTGGAGGCCAGAAGGCCGAGGTCAGGGTGCCAGCAGGGCCGTTCCTCTCGCAGACCCGCCAAGGCAGAAGCGGCGCCTTTGCTGCACCCGCTCTCCCCGGCCGCCCGGACCCCGGTCCCCCAGCCTGCACGCCCCACTGCCCTCGGTCCCCACGGCCCGGACTGACCTTACAGGACATCCCTCCTCTGGTCCCTGGTGTTCCTGCTGCGTCACCAGAGCTCTGTGTCCCTCCGCACGGGGCCTTCTCCTGTGTGCGTGTCTGTGTCCCTCCCCTAAAGGACACCAGTCAGGTTAGAGTAGGGCCCGCCTCACTGACCCTGTCTCAGCTAACTACAGGGCAGCGTCACTGTTCCCCAGTCGGGTGACATTTTGAGACGCTGGGGGTGAAGACTTCAGCAGAGGAAGGGTAAGGGGACACGGCCCGCCCCCAACCCGCTGCCTGGTTCTCTTCCTGCCCCCCCATCTCAGCACCCTTTCGCCCTCCGTGTCCTTCTCCCTCCCTGTGGGACAGCTGGTCTCATGCGGGGCAGAGTCCCGGGATCTGGCTGAGGAGGTGACAGGGGCATTCTGCGTCCACGCTGAACGACAGCAGACGCAGTCCCGGGCGTTCAGGATGTCGGCCGCTTGGCTGCCGCCCCGGCCGGTGTGTCCTCCGTCGAACCCCCACCCACTCTTCAGCCTCCTGCAGTCTGTCCAGATAAAGCCTGTTTGGCACTAGAAGACAGGGCGCATTGGTGCGAGCGCAGATGTAGTTAAGCAGGACGAAGGGAGTCCCGAGCCCCCCCTCTGACGCCCTGTGCACAGCAGTGAGCGCTGGGTTTAACGCCAGCGAGGGGCCCCCCGGGCTTAGTGATGGTGAAATGAGCCACTGTCCCGTTTATCGCCTGCTCGGCAAAGAGTGCAGGACCTGCAGCCAGGACAGATGCTGCAACGTCACTCACGCTGCCACCGGCGCCGCCCTGGCCACCGGCTCCACGCAGTCACGCGGCGGCTTTCACCTCCATTCTCTTGGCACCTGCACGCGCTTTAAAGCATTTGATGCTTGCGGTATTTCACACACACAAAGTGTGTTCTTAGGTGTTTTTACACGCACACGTAAATCTGTCGTATGTGCGTACCATCGAAAGCTCGGCCGGAACTGTACTCATTACAGTTCAGGAGACCGTGTCAGGGGACATGGCCACATGGTGCCGTTCCCTCAGATCCCGGTGCAAATCGAGGCAGGGTGTCCGAGCGTGTTGGGGTCCCCACCTGACAGATGAAGACAGCCGGGCTAATTTTCGTGGTGACCTTATCTGAAGTACTTCGAAAATAGCACTGGGGATTTATGACTGGTTACAATTAAGCCCTTTGATGCTTTCTAATTAAATCTGTGAAGATTTATGTCTGCATTATTCCTTTGGTGAGCCTTTAAAAATGTAAATGAATGTTACCCTCAAAAGGAGAAGCTTCTACTTATCCCGAAGAGGCCATGTCCTCCCTCTCACACGACGGCGGTTCAGACCCCGGTTCGCCCGCCGCCGCACAGCGTCCGCGCGGGGGCCTCGAGTGATCCAGTTCTAGGGTTGGCGCAGATGTTAGACAGTCTCGGAATGCAAATGAAACGCGGCCTGCTCCACTTCAGCCTTCTTTGTGGGCCCTCCTTTTAGAATTTGGCTCTTTGTCGCCAGCCCCATGTTCAAAAGGGTATTTCCTGAAAGTTGAGAGGTCAGCGTGCAGCCTGGCGACCACGCCAGCGGGCGCCTGCACCCGAGTCCTTCCCGAGAACAGATGGGCCCTCCACTCCGGCCCACGGTTGTCTTCGCTCAGAGGTTGAATCCGTGCCCCGTGTTAGCTCGCAGGTGCCCGAGCCGGCGGCTCAGACCGGAAGCGCATTCACCTGTGCCCCGTCTTCCTCCTCAGGGGAGTACAGCTACCTGGGGACCACGCTGCGCCAGGTGGCGGTGGAGCCCATGCCGTCCCTCCTGGACGTCCGGCAGCTCGTCACCCTGTATGGAGTCCTGCCGCTAGGTAAGGGCCCGCGCGCCGGCTGTGACCACGTCGTCCGGGGCGTCACCGCCGTGCACGGTGGCTTCCCCTCCCTCCCGAGTTGTGAGTGGGGGCAGCCGGGGGGCGCGTCTGAGCGCCCGCTTCACACCCCAGACAAAGGTCCGGTGGGCTGCCATCTGTAGAGAGAACAGCCGAAGGGAGCACCTGCCATGAAAACGCGTCACATTAGACCAAGGACAAAGGTGACGGTGTGCCTTCACCATAACCTCAGGCCTCAGTCCCTCGGTCCCTCCCAGAGTTGCTGACAGGGTGTGTCCCGGCTCGCAGGGAGTGAGTCTCTGCCGGCTTCCCCCGAGGCCACTCTCACTGCGGAGGGCGGCGCGGTCGTGACTGGTCAGACCAGAGACCAAAGCCCCCAGGAGTGCCCGGGGGGGTCCGGGGGCCGGGGCGGTGGGCTCTCCCGGGCAGAGCTCGGCTGCTCTCGTTCACTTCTGCCTTCACGACTTGAGTCTGCACGTGGCCGGAGTCGGCCGGGGCCCAGCCCAGTGGAGCGCCAGCAACCATTCTGCACTGGGAATGGCTTTTCGTTTGCTTTCAGACGCGGTGGGAATAGTTTGGCACTTGGAGTTAAATAGGAACTTCAACCTATTGGCAAGAAATAGTCCGTTCCCCTTCTAACTTCCTGTCGGTGGCAGTGCCTGGAAGTTGGGGGCGGCGTTGACAAACAGACACCGCAGACAGACAGGCAGCCTGGAGGGCCCGCGTCCCGTGGGGTCAGCGCAGCGCCGTGTGATGTCCGTGGTCCCTGTGAACAAGATGAAGAGCTTAGTGCCCCCGGGCCACCCCAGTGGAACGGGAGACTCGAGCGGGAGACCAAGAGCTGGCGAGATGTGAGGACGCGCCTCACAAGCAGGAGGCCGTGTGCCGGAACCGGCCACTCCCTGGTGCAGGACGGGGGTCGACTCCAAGCCGCCTTGAGAGCATCAGGAGAAGGACGCTCAGGACGCGTCCTGCCCGGACCCTCCTTTCTCAGCGAGGAGCCTGAAGTCACTTCTGGCTGCTGCCTCCCCAGGCCGCAGGCTGGCAGGCCTTCACCCTCGTGACCGGCATGCGTGCCCGGCACAACCGGGACACGGAGAAACGGGTCCACGCCTGCCTTTCAAGTGCTCGATTTAAATTTCAGCCGTTGAAACTAGTGTCGAGTTACAAAAAGGAATGTGTTCCTTGGCCCCGGTGGTTCGGGTCACCGCTGCCAGGCCTGAGCCACTCAGCAGAAGGCACCGAGGCCAGGGGCTGAAGCCACTGCCCATGCCTGGCCCCACCGCGCAGGCTCTTCTGGCTGCCTCCTGGGCTCCCAGGATGGGGTCCGAGCTCTCCAAGCCCCCGGGCAGATAAAGGAACGCACGGGACACCTGCCCAGCAGCGACCTCCTCCCTCCCGGAAGTGCCGCAGTCCCTGCACAGGGAGGGAGAGGGAAGGAGGGGGCGTCCCCGGAGCAGAGCGGCCTGCTGCTCGGGGTGTGTCACCACGGCCTGTGCGGGTGGGCGCCGAGCCTGCTCTTCCAGATGAGTGAGCACACAGCCCAGCATCGGGAGTGGCAGAGCCGGCTCGGGGCACGGACGCAGACCCTCAGGACGCAGACCCTCCGGACACCGGAGAGCCCGGGATTTCGGTCCGTCTCTCAGCAATTCTCCGTTGTTTTTCAAAACTGCCACCGAAAGTTGAGGCAGGCAGGAAGAGCCACGGACGCCGAGGCAGGCCTGTCCCCCTCAACGACTATGCCTGCCCCCACGGATCGGTGGTTCAAAGGTCAGCAAGGCCCCAGGTGCAGAGGCCTCCACCTTACCTGCCCGAGTGACCTTGGTAACCACCCCTTCCTTCTGGAAAGTCACTTCCCTGGAGCTAATGCGCACCTTCCCCTGAGTCTCCCCCACCCTTGACCCCCCCAATTGTCCCCCCAGATCCTGCCCCCAACACTCCACTACACGCTGGCCTCAGCCAGCACCTTGGCTAGTCTGCAGCCCTGACTGCCTCCCCTGCTGGGGAGGGACCCCTGCGGCTGGCGGCATCGTCTCCCTCTACCCCTTGCTGTCTGTCCCCGCCACATCACCCATCAGACATCCGCCACTCCCGGCACCGCCAGACTCCCCAGGCCAGGCCTTCAGCCCCTCATCTGGAAGCTTCCCACAGGACCCCTTCCCTGCAGACTCCAGTTCTGCCTGTGCTTGCACGCTGGCCCAGATGCCCCCTCCTCCTGGAAGTCCACCTGAGCCACCCCCACCCGGCCCGCCCACCACGTTCACTCCCAGGGGCTCTCGAGGACCGCAGCGTTATTCGCCTTTCGTTCTGGTCACGCCCAGTCGGTTCAGTAAGTTCTTTACGGCACTTCCTGACTCCCTTCGAGTTGGAACCTGAAGGGCACCTGCCGGACTGGGAACTGAGCGGCCCTCGGTGCCCGGGTGCTGAGAAGGCCCGATGAACGGGTGTCCCTGTCCTGCGTGGAAAACGGTCTCCTTGCTCCGCCACTCACCACGGATAAAGCCTATTTAATTTAATTTTACAGAGAACTTGCCCCAAATTATTTCCAAGTGTGTGAGGGGCGTGTTAGGTAACCACGAAAACTGTTTCTATGTGGTAAATCCACGATACCTTTTCAAGGGCATGAGGAAAGAAAAAACCAGAAAAGCACCATGATAATTACAACATTGACATATTTCTGGCTGCTCAGAAAGTGCCTAGAGGTTGAGCGAAAGCAAACCAGAGGGACAACTGTCTCCACGATGGCCCTTACCAGGGCGCGACTCCGCTCCCTGCAGAACGACACAGTGCACCGTGGGCAATGCTGCCGGTGAGGACAGTGGAGGACACAGGGCTGAGTCCCATCTTGGCCCAAAGGAGACAGACCGTGTGGCTGAGTGCACGAGGCGCGGACCTTCAGTGACGGTCCAGTAACTCAAGTCCCCCTCCTGTCAAGGGTCCAGTGGACTCGCCGGGCTGGCGGGCTGGAAACCGGCAGGAGAACCAGTCTGGCTCTGGCCACTGGATCTTGGGTTCCCCCTTGTCCCCTAAGAGTCACTGATGGACACATGTCAGTCCCCTTCCTGGCCACCTCCATGTCCCCTTGCCAAGCTCTCAAAGGATGAGATGCTGCTGATGATCAGAGAAACCCCCCTCTGTGCCCCCGAAACTGTCAGAGGTAAGTCAGTGCAGGGACCTGCTGTAAAACTATGAGTGGGGGCAGAGGGGAGACGATGTGTCGGGTACTCGAGGAGACCTCGGGGCCAAATCAGCGTCGCAGAGCCAGCTGAGCCGGAAGGCGTGCCTCTGGTCTGCAGTGCTTTTGACGACGTTCGTCAGGGTGGCAGAAACGGGGTCCTGCCGTGGAGTCGGGGCCCCGAGTCTAGGACCGGCCGCTGGTCACTGGCGGGACTTACAGCCTTGGCCCCGCCTCTTCCAGGCTCCGCGGAGGTGCACGAGAAGGCGCCTCTGGTGAGGTCCCTGCTGCTGGCCGGGCCCTCGGGGGTCGGGAAGAAGATGCTGGTCCACGCCATCTGCAACGAGACGGGCGCCAACCTCTTCAACCTGTCTGCGGACAACATTGCGGGGAAGTACCCCGGCAAGAGCGGCCTGCAGATGATGCTGCACCTGGTCCTCAAGGTACTCGCTGCGTCCCTGCTTCTCGGGGCCCCCCCCCCCCCGATCATCCCGCTTCCGGTTTACGTGTCAGACCCGCGGGGGGCTCCTGGCGCCCACTGGGGCAGGCCCTGCCTCCAGGCTACCCCAGCATCTTCCTGCAGATTCCGCAGGTGCTAATTTAATGTATCACAGCCTTCGTGGGGTGAATGTGCTGCTCTTTTACATACAATATGAAAACTCACAACGTTTTACATCTAGAAGTGTGATAACCACCACAATAGAGTGTTGTGACTTTTGAGTGAGTCATTTGCCTTTTAAAGAAGATAAGAGGGAACAGTTAGTGTCTCACCCTTAGTCACGTACTTCCCATCTCCGGTGCTTTTCATTCCTCGCTGTCGCTCCAGCTTCCCACTTGGTGTAATTGCGCTCTCAGCTGCAGGACTTCCTTTCATTTGTATTTTAGGTCTGCTGGCCACAAATCCCCTCAGCTTTCATTTTACTTATTTCAGAATATCTTCACGTTACCTCCATTTCTGGAGGGTAGTTAGCTGGGTGTAGAATTCTGGGCCGACATATGTTTCTTTCAGCCCCTTACAGACATTATTCCATTGTCCAAGGTGCAGGGCATTTAAGTGACTTCCCCAGGTGACAGTGCTGCCACGTGAGAGGTTACAGCGTTGCCATGTGAGCTCACCGTCTGCACCAGGAGCCTGCAGACTTGAGTGCGTTGCTGGCCTCTCACTGAAGTCGGCTGATTTCAGCCTGTCTGCTCCTGAGCACCAACGGCTCAGCGTTCCCGGGAGATTCTGGGACACGGCCCTGGCACGACCGTGCTGTCCTTGGGCTCAGGAAGTTGTTTCTGCTGCCGAGAGGCAGTGTCCCTGCTGTCAGATAAGCGACACCAGCATGTCTTAGAATCATTGCAACCCGACATCCGTGGCCCACAAAATGCTACTGTCAGATCACCTAAATGTGGACCTCCCGCCTTGTCCACGCAGGCCGCTCCGTGTGACGGCGCCCGGCGCACGCCTCGGTAAGCTTCACCTCCACTGTGTGTGCAACTGATTAATGAAAGACCCAGAGGCCCAGCAGTGGGAGTCCTTCAATTAAAAGGCACTGGCCGGGAGGGCGCCGCATCCCGGCATTGGTGACAGACCAGCTGTCTGCGTCTCGGAGAGGTGTTTGCTTTTAATTAAGCGAAAGACAGCTGGCCAGGTGTGGGCAGGGAGGCGCCCCGAGTGTGTCCTGTGCTCCGTGGGCTGCAGCTCGGGGCCACAGCGGGGATGGCAGGGGCCCACCTGTGCCGTTTGCTGAGGAGGTGCAGTGACCGAAGGCCCAGTTACCCGGCATGTCTTCTTCAAAAGGATCCCTGTTCCCGAGTTAGTCCCTGGAGGACAAAGGTCGCAACAGCCAGGAACCCGCCACAAGGCCACGTCCAGCCAGTGGCCTTGCTTCAGCCCCAGCACGCTGCACGCATGACTAGGCACCAGGAAAACAAGTCTGATCCGTGTCACAGCTGCACATTCGAGTCCACTCCGTCCCCAGCATCTCCAGAGGGTCCCTTCTACTCACAGGGACTTCAGTGCAATGGCCACTCGGGTCCTGCCAGAGGTGCGTGGGCTGCTGTTTGGGACGCTTTCCTCCACCAGACAACTCACTGAAAACTCCTTCTTCCACTGAAGCTACACACGTGGAAAAGAACGCACATCTGGTCAGTGAGGGGACACGAGAAACACAGTCACCTGTCACCTAACCAGTTGAGAAATGAGGCAAACGTTTAATACGTGTCTCCTGTACAAAAGAAGTCACCAAGGCGAGGCCGTCACTCAACAAGCCTCGGCCTCCCTGGGTTTCCGAGACAGCACGTCGGGGTAAGCGAGCAGGAAGGATCGCCGTGACCTCGGCCCGGAGCGCGGCACGCCCTGAGGAGTGTTCCACGCACCCGCCCTTTCCGTTGGCCAGACCCCTCGTGAGGGAGGCAGGAACTGACGTCCCCGTTCACACACGGAAAACTGCGGCCCAGAGTGCTTCCTTCAACCAAAAAACACAAACGTAGGGCATGGCCTCTGGACTTAAGGTCTGTCTTCACAGAGGCTTGGCGCAGCTGGCCTCCAGGGCACGGAAGGCTCCCTCGCATCCTGCCCCGGGGACCTGTGTCCCCCTGGCGGCCGAAGAGCAAAGCCATGCCTCGGTCAGCGTCCGCCGGGAAAACAGGCTAAGGAGGCCACCCAGCCACGGTCGGGTCCAGGCCACGTGGCCCGCGAGTCTGGACAAAGGGAGGCCATGGCACTGCCCCTGCCTTGGTGCCACCGCGGTTTCTCACTGGGCTCGTGGCCAGCATCCAGGGCAGTGCCCTGAGGGACCCTGTCCAGATGTGCGGGAGTCAGCAGCTGGGCCGTAGTCGGGTGTGAAGGCTTCTACTCCAGGCTGGTAACCCAAACAAAGGCTGTGTTGCTATTCAGGGGTGATTTTTTAAAAAACACAGACACAGATGTGTAATAAATGTAATAAATATGTTAGTCCCACCTTTACAAGGTGAAATTCAATACGGAGGCAGCAAAGACCTGTACCTGACCCAAAAACCAGAGCTGTTCCAGTGAGCAAGGGCGGGGGAGGGAGCAGAGGGGGTGCAGCCTCAGGTGTGAAAATAAAGGGGCTGCTGTCGGAAAGCCGGTCCCCTGCGCTGCGCCCCGTGGAGGCCAGAGCACACGTCGGCATTCCCACTTCTGCTTATTTTCTTTAAACCCAGACATCATACTTCAGAGCTGTTTTGGGTTCACGGGAAAGCTGGCCGGCAGTGCAGGTGGGCTCCACGGGGCGCCAGGCCCGGGCTGGGGTCACAGGGACGAGCTGGGACCAGAGTTTTTAACCAGGGAGGAAACACTTGGGGGGGGAGTGCCTTAAATGAGGCTAAAATGTATCGGAAGGAGTTGAGCGTGGCCTTGCACACAGGTGTGAACGCCTCCGCCTCTTGAAATCGGCACCAGGAGTAGGGGCGGGCTGGGAAGGAGAAGGGGGTTCAGAGGGAAACTGGGGTGCTTTGTGAGTCTGTCGCCCTCCAGGCTCCTCCCCCACGAACACAGCCTGGCCCTCAGCAGTAGCACTAACGGGTTCCTGTCACCCGGCCGCCCCCCGACCTTGACACCTGTCACGGTCTGTGCATGGCACCTGCATCCCCAGCCTTCTCCTCTCCGCTGCCTCAGTTTACCTTTCTTTCCACACAGGGTCAGCCCAGTCGCGCTCCTGACTCTTAGTCACTTGCAGTTTATCCCAACTGACACCCAGTCAGGACTTGAGGTCTCAACTCTGCAGTGCCATAGAAGACAAGGCAAGGGAAGAGAAATTTAAAATATTTTGAAGTAATAGAAATGCAACATGCTCCACATACTAGTATTTGAACAGAATCTCAGTGACCGCAGTTCAGGAAAGTGAGCCCCCCGACCCTCCCCAGCACGGCAGCACCACCCTGGTGCTGCCCTGTGCCCTGCGACCCCCGTGCAGAGATGGGGGCCCCGCTGTCTGCAGGCAATGACCCTTCTCTGTTCCCAGATGTCCCCTGCCTCCCACCACAGAGCCTGACCCCTCACTGACGCCCAGTTGATGTGTGTAGAGTGGGTGGGTGAGTAGGTAGGTGTAGGGATGGGTGGGCCTTTTCAGTTTGGTGAACTGATAAGCAACTACTGAAAAAAGTAGGCACTTTTTCCTGGGTTTTCTACAGGGAGCAAAGGGACCCTTTCAGAAAGACCCCCCGGGGCTTCCCGGATCCTCTGGGCCGACCTGGCCCACCAGACACGCAGGGTTTCACGGGGAACCACGGCACCCTACCCTGGGAACCCAGTTCTGCCACTGAGTGTTCGATACTGTTTCTTTGGAGAGTTGCTGAAGCTCAAACCCGTAAAACTGACGTGGGTGGAGAGTCTTTAATTGTTTGACAGAACCTTCCGGAATCTGAAAAGGCACAAGTTGGTGGAAGTTGGTCTTCATTCCAGAATTGACACAGAACTGAAACCTACAGTGACATTTGATGGGACTGAAGAGCCCCCTAGTGGCTGTCGGAGGAAACGCCCCCACGTAACCTGTGAAGTCCAATTATGCATTAATTACATTTAATTGTCCATGACCTCAAGCTGTCTGTGGGTAATTTCAGCGAAGCCTTGTGACTGCTACATGAAAATTAAAAGAGCAAAGGATGCCATTTTTCATTAACAAATTGGCAAAGAGTTTTTTTACTGTTAATATTCACTGAGAAGAGTGGAGAAATGGATCCGCTTCTGTAGGGCTCGGAGGAAAACAACCTCCCGGCCCGCAGGTGGCCGCGAGCGCGCGCGCGGGAGTGTGAAGGACACACGGGCCCTGCGCCCCGGTGGCGTCCGAGGAACGACCGCTCATGTCCGGAGGCCCCTCCCCCGAGCACTGTTTGGTTGAGTAAGAAGGCAGAAGCCGCCCAGAGGCTCAGAAGCTCAGGGCCAGGTCAGTAGGTCACAGGCACCTCCTCACAGTGACACTGGGTAAGTGCCTGTCACGTCAGCGCAGGAAGGGCTGTCTGGTTTTTGCAAATCTGGGGCCAGGAAGGGTCATTTCACCCCCTCACCTCCAGCCTCGCCTCGAGCCCTCTGCACACCCTCCCCTCCATTTCCCAGCACCCTAGGGCACCGCCGCCCACCGCCGGGTGCTTCACACACGGCCAGTGTCCAGGGGCCCCATGTTTAAGTCCCTGACAGACGCCTCACCGCTGCTCGGGTAAGAGCAAACTCGGCGGGCTGGCCAAGGCCTTTGTGACCCCCCCCCAGAGTGACTGAGCAGCCCCCAGAGGGTAGGCCTGGCCCTGGCTAGCCCTCTGACGCCCCTCTCTCCCTGGGCCACCCTCACGGCCTCAGCGTGCCCACCCCGCCGTTGGCAGGCTCCTCCAGCACGAGGCCCAGCCTGGCACGGTGCCCGGTGCGCCCCAGCCCCTCCGGAAAAGTTTCATCAGTGAGGAAAGGGACACTGGCGTGTCTGTCGGGCCCCACATGGCAAACCCGGGGTCCCTCCCGTAGCAGTCTGGTTGGAAACAGCCAACTCCGTCCCGAGACTCCTTTTCTCCAAGGAAGGAAGCCTCTGCCCCTCGGACCCTCCTCGTGGGAGGCCCCTCCTGGAGGCCCAGGTTCTGGGCCCCACCTGTCTGCCCGGGACCGAGCACGCTCGCCACGGCCCCGGCCAGCCCGCCAGGGAGGACGGTCAGGGAGATCAGAGACCCTCTCTCGGGACCGGACAGTGGTGGTTTGGAGCTCTTCCGCTGGAACGAGAGGTGGCCGAGGAGGGTGCGGCCTCAGGGCGTCCGTCGCCGTCAACCACGGTGACACACAAGCAGCTGCCTGGCTACTCGGGCGCTGGCCCTGGGTGCCAAGCAGATGCAGGTTCGACTCCAGCTCCACCGCTCTGCCCTGCTGGTGGGCACATCGATGACCCCTCTCTGCCTCAGTGACCTCCTCTGTAAAAGGGGCAAAGTGTGGATGCACTCAGCATAGCACGTTGTTAACACCGAAGGACTCACTCGTTTCACTCAACAATAACGGTGCCTTTCCAAAGCGCCGTCCTCCACACGGCACCGGGAGCCCCAAGCAGGTGACGGACCACCCTGGGAAAGGCGTCCCTGCATGGGTGCAGCTGGAGCACGTGAAGAGTGGAATCCCCCACCAGTGAGGAGAGTGGGCTGTCCAGGGAACAGTCAGTCACGTTCAAGTTCTGTGCTGTGCTGTGGCTGGCAGTCACAGCCACCTCAGGTCAGGGTCGAGAAGCAAGACTGATGGTTTCAAGGCCACCCCAAGCCAGTGAGGCGCCTGATTTCAGCCTGTCCCCGAGGCTCAATCTGTGAGGAACAGGAAGAGAAGCCACACTGAGGTCCCCAGAACGCCCACCCGCCGTCCCATCCCCATCAGGAGGAGGGGGACCGAGCGATCACAGGCTCACAGGCAAAGGCTCGGAAAGCCCACTGCCCCCCAGGGGACGCGGCAGAGGAGGGGCCTGCCACCAGCACGGGGGCGCGCCCAGGACCGGGACTCGGGTCACGTGAGAACGTCCGAGGGTTTCGGTGCTAAAACCGAGATTGTTAAGAGGGGCTGATGAGGCCTCTTATAATAAAGCGGTTTTTTTTTCTAAGAAGCTGAAGACCTTTCCCCACAGAACCTCATTTTATTTTCCTTTGGGGCAGGAAGTAGGGAAGCTTTAGATTCAAACTCAAAACAGCTTTTAGGGAGCAATGACTCCTCAAAGCTGTGCCCTCGGGCACCAAGCCGGTCCCCCGATGACAGGGAGCAGGCCACACTGGGAAAACGCGGGGGGCCTTGCACTGAACCTGCTTTTCTCCCAGCGAGCAGACCTGCCGGCACCCGGTGCCGGGCCAACTGTCATTCCAGCCCGAGGCTCAGGCCCCCCCTGCCGCCCCACCCCCAGTTGGTCGGCAGCAGCAAATTGTTCACTGGCTGACTGGAAGCCAAAGGGACTCGAGGCCTGGGGACCCAGAGCAGGACCTGCAGGTGCCCCATGCGCCCTGCCCGGGGGTTGGAGTGGCGGGCGGCGAAGGAGGGCTCGGTCATGCGCACACAGCAGCGCCCGACAGGCCCCGCCTCCCCGAAGGCACACACACGGGAGCCCTGGCGTCCTGCTGTCCCCGGGGCCCCACCGTGCGCCCAGGAGGGAGGCACACGTCCAGCCCAGGCTCTTCCCTCTCCTGCAGGTGGCCCGCCAGCTGCAGCCGTCCGTGGTGTGGATCGGAGACACGGAGAAAACCTTCTATAGAAAAGTCCCCAGCACCGAAAGGATGGTGAGCACCCTCCTCCGAGGGGCCCTGCCAGGGCTGCCTCTGCTTTTCCGCGGGAGGAAGGTACCACGGGGCAGCCTCTCCCTCTGTCTCAGGGCTCGTCCGCGTGGGAAGGGCCCGGTGGGCTGCTTTTCTGGGGCATAATTTGGAAGAGAATGAAGGACCGTGTGGAAGAAGGGGGAGGGGAGCTCGAAGCCCAGACACCTGACTCAGAGGTGAGAAGCACTTAGAGAACTCTGCCCTGTTTTTAAAAAACGGCCCACACAGGAGTCATCGTTAGGACTTCCTATTGTTCACGGTAATGAGCAGCAGAAGCGCTGCGGGTCACGCACAAAGGCGTCCCCGGAGCCCGGGTCCTCCTGCGATTGCTTCCTTCCTCCTTTTCTCTCCGCTCCGCACCCCTCCCCCGCACTTCCCCCCACAGATCACCAGCAAACTTCCCACAAGTGAAAAAAACAATGCGGACACACGATTGTCATTCCACATCAGTTCCCACCAAAGCAGATAGTGGTTAACCGTGGATTTCCGATGAAAACCGCAAGGACTTTAATCGCTTTGGATCGTATGTGTTACACATCACTGTGAGCAGGTAGAGCGGATTTGGATAAGGAACGGAAGCTCCATATTTTCCTCCCCCCACGAGCCTTGGTTCCCCTGTCGCTTTAGAAACTTCAGGACTCGTTTATTATTTCGTCTGCGGACCAGGTAGTGAGCTCCCTCTGCTGGCGAAGATGCAGACCTGGAGGCTGGAGTTAGTTGCCTCACCCAGATCACAGAGCTAGAAGTGCAGGGCAGGGCTTAATCCACCCCTGACGCCATCGGAAGCTTCGTGGGCAAGGGCTCCTCGACAGCCACTGGACGTCAGCACGGCCAGGAGGATAACCATGGCCATGGGCCATCAGCAGTTGCAGCCATAGTGGGCCTTTGTTCTGCCCACCTCCGTGTCGGAAGAGCTCACCGGGTCCACCGGGGGAGCTCACGGCACTGAAGACTGGGTCCCACCCAGTGAATGGGTCCTGGGTGAATCCCAGACCACCTGGTGAACACAGGTCCCCACAATCCATGAGGCCGCGGGGGACCTGAGTGACCCCAGGCGCACCCCGGGCTGCCAGATGCGTGCACCCCGCACCCTGCAGGCGAGAGCGCTGTCGGGGGGAACCACTGTGTGCCTGCCCTTCAGCTGGACTCGGGAACATGGTCCCACTCACCCCAACGTCTGGGCCTGCCCCTCGGAGAGCGGGGCTGCGGGTTCCTGCCACCTTCCTGGGACTCTGGGGCCGGGCTGGGCCGGCTCCGCTCTCCAGCCCCCCAGCCTCTGGCTTCTGCCCTCGGCCGAGTCTGCAGGGCCTGGGGCTGCAGTGAGCAGTGACCTTCCACACACGTTCTGAAGGGACACCAGACCCCAGGCTGCATCCTCTCACCAGAGGAACCAGGAGGCTCCACTCTGCATCACTCGGCCACCCCGGGAACCCACCGTCCCAGCCTCTGTCCCTAAGGCCCCCTGACCCCAAAGGCACTGAGCCACAAAGAATCCCACCTTCACTGGACACAGCTGAGCCTCCACCCTCCCCAGCCACAGCACAAGCGGCACCCCAGGCGGCCGCCCACCGGATTGGAGCGGTTCCGGAATCACACTCAGAAGAAGTCTCACCCCCAGTGACCACCTGCACCCTGGAAACCCCGACCCCGGTGCAGGTCACTTAGCAGTGAAGCGTGTGTGAGGCTCACGCAGCCCTGAGCAGGGAAGCGAGGAGGAAAGCCAGGCAGCAGCTAGCTGCGGAGCCCTGCAGCCCTGAGGGGACGCGCCAGGACCCCGGGGCTGCCGGCGGAAGCCGAGCCCCTAGGCCCAGCTCACGTGTCCAGGAAGCGGCCTCCCTGGGTTGTAGGAGGGGAAAGGCTCCATGGGGTGTGGACCTGCCTGGGGCCACCCTGGGACCCAGATACGCAGGTCCACCTGGGGGCCGAGGCCAAACCTTCCTCCCCCTGGGGCAATATCTGCACCCCGGTGCCTGGCTTTCTGTCTGTCCACCAGCCACTCCTCAGCCCGGGGCCACTGCAGACCACCTCCCGAAAACCACCTGTCGGCCCTCTAATCTTACAGCCGAGGTGCAGGCTCCAGACCTTGGCGGCCCGACACCCTGCCCTCGTTCTCGACACCTCTGCCCCTGCCCTCGTCCTCGACACCCTCAGCTGCCAGGGCCCTGCCCTCCCCTGGCCTCCTGCTGCCCCAGCAGCCCTTCCTGCTGGGTCTCCTGCACCCACCCCTACCCACCCCGAGGGATGTTGGGGACCCCTTTTCTCCTCGTCCTCACCATCTCTTGGCTTCAAAGTCACCCCCAAACCAGTACCTGCCCTAGTCTGTCCCCAGCCCAGGTTCTCTCCCGAGACCCCCATACGATCACTCGGAATCACCTGGGTCACCCTGGACGTCGCCCCCCCACAGTGCTGCAAACCCGAGCATGGCCCACCTGCAATGTCCTCCTCCATCACGACCCACCGCCCCGAGCTCCTGCAGTCCCAGAGGGTGGCTTCATTTCTTAATAGGACTGCCTTTCATAAGGGGGCTCTGGATCCACGTGGTGAGATGAGCTCTGAGGATCTCCACGCCCTTCAGCCCCGTCTAGGTACAGCGTGTGGGGCCCCTGATCCGGCGAAGGCCGGCCTGTGAGGGGCCTCCTTCAGAATCCCAGCAGGAGGAGCCACCAGGGCCAGGAGCCCAGAAGCGGCTTCTCAGAGCTGAGCAGCTGAAGGCTTATGCAGTACAGTGGGGACTGGTGGGAGCCTTTTATGCAGTCATTTTGAGCGATACTACTGGTTTCCTCCCAGTCCCAAAGCTCCCGTTCTCTGCCTCTCCCCTGCTCAAACCTTCCTGTTCCACGGAGCAGACCGGGTGTTGGCTTCCCACCAGCACTCACTCTTCGGAATAACAGCCCCCATCTAGCACTCCGTCCGACACTGCACCGGGTGGTCTGCGATTGTCCCGTTCCTCGGGGGCAGGACTGAAGTTCAGAGATGTTGAGGAACCTGCCCAAAGTCACTCAGCCATTAAGAGCAGAGGCGGGACTGAGAACCAATCTGAGACAAAGCCTGCGCCGTCCACCACGTGCCCTGCCCTCTGCCTGTTACCGGGGGTTTTTCCTCCGGCTTTTCCGTTTTTACACACAGCTGCCCCCACCCCTCCCAGGAAGTTTGATGATCAGAGCGCAGGCCCAGCAACTCTTCCCTGCCCCGGGCCAGTCCTGAGAGGTGGCTCTGAGCGGGGGGCAGGTTTCTGCACAGACCTGGGCTGGGGCGGGGGTGGGGGAGCGGCCCGCTCCCAGGATTCAGGGAGTCTCATTCCAGATCGCCCCTGTCCCGCACTTTGCCCCCTTTCAGGCGCCTCTGTCCTCAGCCCGGGTCTGGAGCCGCCAGGTGGAAGATGTGGGGCCATTGTTTCCTCCCGGTGGGGCCGGAGGAGCCGGAGCTGGACGGACCCCTGTGGGCGCAGCGGAGGATGGGACAGGAGGATGCCTCGTGGTCTGGCCTCGGGCCCAGTGGGTGCGGCTGAGGCTGCTGTGAAAACGCCATCTCGTTCTCCACCGTGACCTGCGGGACAAGAGGCCTCCCCCAAGCCGAACCCAACAGCAGAGGAGGAGGACTGCACAGCCCGACCAGGCAGGACGGACCCCAGGCTCCACCCAGAATCGGCTGAGGCGATACACCGAGTTGGCAGAACGGGACAGACCACACCAGCATCTCGACAGGTGGGAAAAGTAATACACGTCTGTGTAGAGGGAGGAGAGGGGGAGAAGGAAGGGGGTCACGGGGACGCTCCGCCTCCGTGTCCCCTCTCCTACCAGGGTCACGTTGAGTTTCTCACCAGGGCTCGGAGTGAAAGTCGTCCGCGCTGGAAAGAAAGAGGTAAAACTTTCTGTTGCAGGCGACATGAGCCTGTGTATCGAAAACCCTAAGGAATCCAGTAAAAAAATATTAGAATTCGTAACTAAGTTCAGCAGGGCCGCAGGACACGGGATGAATATACGTAAAGAACAATTCATACACCTGCAATGAAAAATCAAAAGTTGGAATTAAAATAATTCCGTTGGTAACAACATCACAAAGAATAAAAGAGGGATAAATCTAAGAAACAAGTGCAGAACTTCTACTCTGAAAATGACGGAACAGTGTTGGCGGAAGCTAAGACCTAGACGAATGGGAAGACCCGTCACGGCCGTGGACTGAAAACCCGGCTGTCGTGAAAGTGGCCGGAATCCCCAGACTGACCTGCAGACGCAGCGTGAGCCCCATCCAGACTCCCGCTGGCTGCTTTGAACAGGTGACCAGCTGACCCTAAAACCCACGTGGACAGTGGAGGGACTCAGGGCAGCCAAAGCACTTAGAAGAGGGCGGGTCGGGGACTCACGCCTCCCGGGTTCGGAGCCCAGCGAGCAGGTGAGTGTGGTGCCGGGCGAGGAGAGACGTGCCCATCAGTGGGACAGAATTGAGGCTCCGGGTAAACCTTTCTGTTTGCCATGAACTGACTTTTTCATAAAGATGCCAAGATAACGCAACGGAGAACGGACAGTCTTTTGAACAAATCGCACCGGGACAGCCGGAGAGCCACCTGCAAGAGAATGAAGTCGGACCCCGACCTCGCACAGGGTACAACAACCGGTCGACTGTGCACCGGAGACCTAAACGTGAGCACTGACACTGCACAACTCTTAGAAAAACAATAGTAGCAATGGCGTGTCAGACACGCCACCAAAAACACAAGTGACGGCAGAAAAATCATATTGTATCTCATCAAAACTAAAAAAAATCTGCTATAAAAATGGCACAGAAGTGCAAAGATGGGTCACAGATTGGGAGAAACTCTTGGCAGAACCACCGTCCGCCGAGTGACTGGCATCCGGGGCCCGGGAAGAGCTCTTACAGCTCAGTAAGGAATGGCAAGTGGCCCCACGGAAAGGTGGGCCAAGGACCTGAACACACTTCCCCGAAGAAGACGCAGGTGGCCAACTGGCACGTGGGAAGATGCCCCGTCGTTAGCCGGCAGAGACGTGCAAATCGACACCGCAGTGCGAACCCTTTCACACCCGCCGGGACGGCTCAGTAGGAGAAACCAGCCCACACCGAGCGCAGCGAGGACGAGGGGACACCGGAGCCGACCCTCGGCGCTGGGATGGGAACTGGGCAGCCCCTCGGGAGAACAGCCTGGCATTCTCACAGGGGGCAAACCTGGAGTCGCCACAGGGCCCGCAGCTCAATTCCCGTGTGTGTCCCCGAGAGAAATGAAGACTTCTCTCGGGGACACACAGATTTCATAGTGGCACCACTCAGGGCAGCCAAAAAAATGGAGGCAGCCCAAAGGCGGATCAGCTGACGCGTGGGTGAGCAAATGTGGCACACAGCACGATACTCGCGGCCGCCATGTGGAGCGATGCTCGTGACCGCGGGCGCACCCCGGAGACTTGAGCTGAAGGAGAGAAGCCACACACACCATGTGGGTCTGAAGAAGGGGCTGGGGGACGGGCGGTGACCCCCGTCGGCTGCAGTCGGGGGGGTGAAGCGCTCTTGCTCGAGTGTGGCGATGGTCGCACGTCTCTCCAGTGGCACTAAACATCCAATGACACCGTTTACACGGGTGAACTGTGGGAGTGTGGGTTCTGTCTCAATCAAGTGGACGCATCCTCACCTGATAGAATAGTAATACACGTTCTGGTCTCCTGTGCAGCCCTCAGCTGGGATTGTCCCTTACCCAGGAAGGAGATTGGGGGCAACGAGCCCCCCGGCACATCCCCACTGTGAGGGGACCCCAGTGTAGAGAAGGGAGACGCTCTGGGGTCACTGCCGCTGTGCCTGAGCTGGGCTCCTGCTCACGAACTCCAGGACTCGAGGGCGTCACTCTTCCCCCCGGGACTCAGGTCGTCATCTCCAGAGTGAGGGCGGGGACTGGCCCGCCTCCCAGGAGCTGGTCGGGACTGAGAGAAAGCCCATGTCCAGCTCTGGGAGAGGCCCCTGGGCCCCCAGCGCCCAGCTGGCCTGCTCAATGGTGGTGTTAAGCTTGAAGGTTTATGAGCAGCCGGGTGAGAGGGGTGATGAGCACCAGGCGGATGTGAGGGAGAGCTGACCCCGGCCTGCCCTCACGGGCTGCCCCGTCTCATGGCTGCCCCCTCTCATGGCTCCCCCAGGTTTCTGCCAGTCCCACCGAGCCTGCCTGCCACAGCCCCTCCTCCCCACCAGCTCTTCCCGCCCAGCCTCCTCCCTGCCCTGGGCACCCAGATAGAGAACTGGGCCCTCGCGCTGGTCGGAGGAAGCAGAAAGGAAGGAGGGAGGTAGCCGCGTGGCCAACACCCTCACACTGCAGGGGATGCCTGCGCCTCGGAGCCCAGGGTGGCCACCCCCCACAGAGTCGCCCCTCGCCTTCCCTGGAAGGACTCCTCTGTCACTGCCCAGCTCGGCTGTGGGCTGGACTCAGAAAGACGCTGGGCCAACCCCAAGGTCCCCAGGGAACAGAGTCCAGAGCACAGGCCATCTGTGTCCCTGTCCAAAAGGCCTGCAAGCCGTACGCAGCTCTGTCACCCGGATACCAGCTGTGACCCCGACACCCTTCTGTTCACTTTCACTCCTGAGGGTGGCATTCACCTCGTGCCCCTGCCCTCCCCCAGGTGCCCCGGCCTCTCCCGTGGGCCGGCCACACAGGCGCTGGTCTCCCCAGGTGTCTACAGGCTGCTCCGGGGAGGCGGCGCTGGCACCCTCGGCTCGACACTCGCCCTGTGACCTGCCCGTGTACCCCCAAAGCTGCTGGGAGCAGAAATGGCCCAGGCTGTGCCTGGCTGTCCCCATGGCAGCTCTTCATCACCCCACGGCCTCCTCCTCCTCCCCGGGCGAGGTTCATTGGAATTTGGGTGTTCCCAAGGCGACGTGGTCACATCTGACCCTCTGGGCTTGAGGTCCCTGTGTCGTGCTTCTGTCCCTCAGTGCTCAGATTAGACTCAACTAACAGGTTCGCACGGTTACCAGCGGCCTCAGAGAAGGCAGCTTCCCCTCACGTAACCGGGCGTTTTCAGACTTGAGACCCAGCATGTCGGTCCCCGCCTGCCACTGCAGTGGGCAAGGGACTCTGGGGCTCACGCCCAGAGCGGCTCGGAGGAACGCTGCATATGCTGACTTCATCCCGGTCAGCTCCCCTGCACTTGGAAACCCGCCACTCTCCGGTTCTCAGGGCCAAGGTGCTAGAATGTTCTGCAGGTGCTTCCTTCCTTCCCCCTTCCAAATCTGAATTCCAGACACTGAGGACAGGAAGCGCCTGCCGTTACACTCACCCAAACGAGGGAGCAGGCCCCAGGCGGGGGGAGGGGGGGCGGGCGGCGGAGGAGGGGGGTTCGGGTGGGACAACTGAAGAACTGCCGTTTGTGGAGCCCCTCCCACAGTGCGGGGGGCCTTCTCAGCTCTTCTCTCCCCATGGGACTCATTCACTCCCCCTCCTTCCCCAGATTGAACCGAAACGCCTGAAAAAACACCTTCCCAAAATCCTGAAACTCCTGAAACCAAACGACAGGATTCTGATTGTGGGCACCACCCGCCGCCCTTTCGACGCCGAGCTGCAGGCTTTATGCAGAGTGTACCAGAAAATCATCTTGGTCCCCAGACCGGACTACGCGTCCAGATACGGCAAGTACCCTGGGGCTCAAAGCGGGGCTGTCCGGCGTGGCGGGGGCTGGGGGGTGGCCCTTGCCACCAAGTCAGCACCAGGTGATGCCCCTGTGGTGACGTGGGCACCCGGACAGCAGCCGTGACCACCGGGCCAGGGGGGCAGAACACACGCCTCTGCGTGCTTGTCAACTTACTTCCTTCCCCCAGGACCAGAGGGAGCTGGACAGGGATGACCGTTCTGTGCCCTGGAGGGGACACAAGCCCTCGCGGTGCAGGTTTTCCCTCCGATGGGCGGACTGGGATCCCCCGTCTGGTGCCCACGGTGACGGGGTCTTTCTCGCACCAAACGGTTTCTGTTCACAAGGTTGGGTTTTTCACTTTTCTGGTCTCCAAGTGTGAGCACAGGAACACGTTGACTCACTGAAAATAAATATGAAGGAGCAGAAGCTCTCTTTTCAGCTTTTTACTTTTGAGTAGATTCAAACGGCACCACTTTTGAGACATTTTTGGATGGGACAGTCGAAAGGAGGCCCTGAGGGGCAGTGCGGTGACATGAGGAGCAGCCACGAGACCCGGGCTCCGACACCGGCTCCGACCACACCTGGCCCCACCAGGGCACAGCTGGGTGACTGGGCCGCTCAGACGAGCCTCTGAGACCGCACCCCTCCTCTGCAGAGCGGGGAGGGCTTCGCCCGCGGGCCCGCTGTGAGCCGAGAGAGGCCCGGAGCAGATGCCCGCAGCAGCCCGCCTGCGGCAGGAGGTGCCCGCCGGTGCCGGCTCAGGCTGCCCAGCAGACAGCCTGCGCCCACCCCCTGCCCGTGGCTCTGCCCGGCACCTGGTCCCCAGGGGAGCACCCTAAGTGCAGGCATCTCTGGAGGTTCGGGCAGAAGGTGGAGGAGTCTTGTGACCCAGCATCAGAGTCACAGAGCCTCGCTGTCACCACAGGCGGCCAGTCCCAAGGCCAGCCCAGATTCACGGGCAGTGGGCTCCCCAGGGCACGAATACCACAGATGAGGCTCATTGTGGGGCCACCTCCGCCTCCCGTGGGGATGGGGTGGCGGTGCGGCTCTACTGGAGGTGAGGGGACCGCACACACGCACGTGCACACACACGCAGGCCCGGCCTGGGCCTCTGCTCCCCCGTCCTTCCACGGGCCGCAGAGCGCAGGGGGCAGGGAGGGTCGCACCCCCTCCCGGCTGCCAGGCTCCTCCAGGGGCCCCGGGCAGGGGCTGGCTGGAGAGGAGAAGGGTGGGCCCGGCCCGCCCGAGGACTCTCGGTCCCTACAGTCTGCCGAATGTAACTCAGCAGCTATCTTCTCCTCCCAAATCGAGCAATCGCCCTCAAAGTGTCTCTGGAGAAAACCCACCCCTGGGGGTGATTAATGCCTGTCTGGTCTGCAGAAACCCCTTGGTGTCCTGCTCTGCACTTCCCCGACGCCGCCTCCCCCGGCCTGTCCTCCCTGGGGGCCGCTGCGCTAAAACCCCATTCATCACGGCCCCCGCCCGGCACTCTGTGTGCACTCGGGTGAGTCAGGCCGTGCCTTCTGATTCTTCTGGAATTCCAGGCTTCAGAGGCCAGAAACTCATCCATATCACACTCACCTCTGTGCTTTTGCAAAATCCCAGGTACAACCACGCTTTAAGATACTGCGTCACCCTGAGCACTCACCCGGGTGGAATCGGTGTGGGACACGAGCAGAGAAGGCGGCCGGGGTGCGGGTCCCTCTGATCTGAAGGAGGGGAGATAGATAGATCGGTCTGGAGAACTGGGTGTCTTTTTAATACAAGAGAAGAAAGTAAAATACATCATCTGGTGGGGAGGGCAGCCCGCTGCCTTCAGCCCCGTCGCTTCCCGGGCCCCCAGGCCTCACGGCCGCAGCGCTGCCAGCCAGAGCCTGTTCTGGTCCGGTGTCCTCCGTGTGCATGACTGGGGTGAGGCTGGGCAGCCTGCCAGCAGCCCCTGCGCCTCCAGGAGCCTCCAGCCTATGGCTCACTCGGCCCCTTACGCCCTCCCAGCCCCACGGCAGCCATGAGCGGGTGGCTTTGTCGAAGCCACCGAGGCCATTCTCCTAAAGGCCGATAACAGCTGCCAGGCACCTGACACAAAAAGGAAATCAAGTCTGGCTGCCTCTCTCGTTCTCCGGAGCTGGAGTGGGTCTGGGGGAGTGGGCAGGTCCCACGGTGGCCGTGATGCCTGTGATGTCCTGTGCTGTCCCGTGCTGGCCATGATGTCCCATGGTGGCTGTGATGTCCCATGGTAGCCATGATGCCTGTGATGTCTCATGACACCCCTTGTGGCTGTGATGTCCCACAGTGGCCTTGACGCAGCCGCAGAGTCCGGTGCTCACCGCCATGACACACCGGTGAGCTTTGGGAGTGACCCCAGCTCAGGTGTCTTGAGGAGTCCCGACCAGCACTCCTCACGAACCCCAGAGTCCCCGCACTAAGATGGGTACCAGTGTGTCTGCGTGGACACGCCAGCCGGAGGGCCTGCAGTTTTTTACCCCACAGGCCACGCGTGTTTGCTTGGGCGGGTCCCTCGTGTCAGGAGGTGGGATGACAGGGAGGCGGGGAGAGCTGGAGCGTGTGTGGCTGGGCGCCCTTGGCCCTCACGCTGGCCAGCGAGGGGCCCACTGTGTGCTGCTGGTGGGGATTGGCCCACCGGTGCCCACAGCCGATGCTCTGAACTCCCAGCCCGGGGCCTCAGCTGCCGGGACTGTCCCCCAGCCTCCCCTGAGGAACGTGCTCCCGTCTCAGCATCTACAGGTGCTGCTCGGCTAGTCGAGCTTTCTCCTGATGTCATAGGTGTGGGCAGGAGACGCCCCAAATTCCGGGGGACCCTGTCGTCCGGTTGTAGTGGCGGTGGTTTGCTCTCACCCCGGGCTGTAGCTCTGACCTCTGACCTCGCAGCAGTGGTGTGCGGATAGGGACACCTGGCGCCCGCTACAGTCTGCCTCCCTACAGACGGCTCTGTGCTCTGTGGTCTGCTCCGCGTGGTCCTTGTGGTTGACGAGCAGCAGGGGACTGGGGCACCGAGTGCAACGGCCCGAAGTCATTATCATCACTGAGACGACAGTCACTCGGTGACTGCTCACATGACCCTGAGCAGTGCCCTTCACTGAGCCTGGTGCCTGTTCGGGCCCTCGCCACACCCAGGGGTTCAGTCTTCCCCTCCCGTTTGCGGGCAAGACTGAGCCGGCCTCAGCCCCAACTAAACCCACCCAGAAGTGGGTCCGGGGGCCCCGGCTGAGGCCCTCAGGGCCCCGTCTGGCCCACTTCCTGCAACTCAGCCCCTGACGCTGCCTTCCACACTCACTGTGGGGACACCGTGGGCCCATGGCAGACGCGCCCCTGTCCCCGGCACCACGGCCCCCCGCCCAAGAGGACAGTGGGGTTAACTGTCTGAACAGCGCAGCGCCCAAAGCCGGACTCCGACGAGGTCATGGTCCTTTCATTCCTGGACAATAGTCACACCTTCAAATCTCACTGGGCATTTCTGAATCTATGTGTTTGGACGAGGTCATCTCTTCAGAAAGCCCATTGTGCTCAGTTCAGGTAGTTACGGTCCCAGGTTAAGAAAACGTTTTAGATGCTCCCCCCAGGTCAGAAGGCTTTAGAGGTGGCTGACCAGGCCTTGCCGGCTCGGAGCCCAGCGGCTTGCCGACGCCGTCCCCGTCTGGATACAGCCCCCACCCCTGCATCACGGGTGCGGCTCTCAATGGGATGCTGTCCCGGGCTCCGTGCGAGACTCAGTTCTGTCTCCAGCATGAAGTGTCCCTCAGGGACCGTGTCATCGCTCACGTTCACCCCGTCCCTGCGTCCTGAGAGCCTCGGCTTCCCCGAAACCCACTCGCCCAGCAAGCGACCAGGCACCCAGGTGCAGATCAGTCAGACGATGGGCCCTCAGTGGCTGGGGGGGGCAGGGGACGATAGGGGCAGACCCCTTTGTCTAACACGGGGTCCCCTCCAGTGCCTCGCACCCGAAGGGAGCCGAGCCCAGCGGCGCTGAGGGACGGTAGAATCTGCGTATAAAAACAAGTACTTTTTAAAGAGTCCTGCTCTGGAAAACAGAATATTCTGAGGCAGAGACCCGCACCCACCGGGAGCATGTGCCGTTCTGAGATTCTGAATGTCTTTAAAGGCCCACACTACCGCGGTTTAGTTTTTCCTTGTCCAGTCGCAACGCGGGCACCCACAGACCTCACACGCGTGTCACGGGGCTGAGAACAGTCGGCCGAGGAGAGCGTTGGGGCGCTGGGCGTCCTGCTCGGCAGAGTTACAGAGCGGATGCCTCGGGCCCTCCGTTCTCCACCAGGGGACCCGTGGTGCGGGGGGTGCGGGGAGCCAGGTCAGGCTGCCTTCCAGTGTGACCCTGTCCTCTCTGTCTTCCCCGCCATCTCGGACCCCACAGTCTTGTGGAGACAGGTCATTCAGCGCTTCGGGGGGGTCATCACGAACACCCTGAACATAAGCTGCCTGGCGAAGATCAGTGACGGCTTCACGCAGGGCCACGTCGTGCAGGCGGTGAGGAGCGTGCTCACGGACCGCAGGGTGCGGCGGCAGCCGCGCAAGCCGCTCGTCGCTGTGGAGTTCGTGGCGGCTCTGAGCAGCCAGAGCCCCGTCTACCAGGAGGAGGAGGACAGCTTCAAGGTGAGAGGCGCGCAGTCTCCGCAGCCAGCCCACCCCCCAGGGCTCCCCAGCTCCGGGGGTTTGACCGCTGCCGTACGGCTCAAAATTCAGAAACTCAGAATTTGGGGGATTGTAAAATCTCCCCAGCCTTAGCTGTAATACGTGTCTTCCAGATTTTGAGAAATCATGGTTCGTAACCTCCTAAATTAACAGCCAGATTACAGAATTGAGTAGCAGCTTCCAACCATTGGGTTCACACATCACCACCAGCCCACCTGCAGCCCATTTCCTGCCCTCGTAGCTGCAGGGCGGACGCCGTGCTGGCCCCGCCTGCATTTTGACGAGCTCGTTCAGTGGCAAATCACTGAGCAGATACACGGAGGGCAGGGTCCCATCACACTCCCGAGTAGGTGCCACTGCGGCTGCACTTGCTCGTGGTCAGGCCGATCACTTTTGTCCTGAGAAATGTGACCGACCCGCGCTTCTGACAACGTGTCAGACTCGGGCCTCACAGAGTCGGCAGGCACATGGTCCCCTGCTCCGTGGACGTGACGGGGAACATATTCAGTGATGATGGTAATCATCTGAATACCGTTGGCTCGTACGTACCGACCACTTACGTGCCAGGCATCCTATTAACTCCCTTGGCCCCTGTTACGGAAAGGAGGAAGCGGAGCTCTGGGTGGGTGGGACGCAGAATAACGGCCCCCGAAGACAGCTACATCCGAGTCCCTGGAACGCGTGAATACGTCAGCTCCCGGGAGAAAGGGGGGTCCCAGGTGCCGGTGGGATTAAGGCTGCTAATTAGTCGACCTTAAAATAGGCTGGTGGTCCCGGGTTGTCCTCGTGAGTCCCGTGGAACCAGAAGACGGGAAAGGGGGATCAGAAGAGGGAAGAGAGAGCACGCAGTGGGAGAAAGACGCGGGCTCCTAACGTTGCCAAGGGGAAGAAGCAGGAGGGGCTGCAGGCCAGGAAAGCGGGCCCACCCACCTGGACCCTCCGGAAGGCAGCTCAGCCTGTAGACGGGGGACTGCAGCCCCGCAAGGCCCATGCGGGACGTCTGGCCTGCGGGCATGTGACAATGTTCCGTTAAACCACAAGCTTGTGGGACTTCACTACAGCAGCAAAAAAAAAAAAAAATCCAAGAGGCAAAGTGACTTCTGTTCCAGGTCACAAAGCTAAAACAGCTGAAATTCAAACCTTGCTCTAGAGCTAAACGCTGATTTTATGAACCGTGTCCCATACTGGCTCTCGGCAGGAGAGGAGCTCAGCACGCGAGGACTCGGCCGCCGCACTCACGTGGAAGACAGAGCCGACGCTACAGAAGGATGAGAAAATCCCCGGTGCCAGAAACATACGGCTCTCGGACCCAGCGACAGACAGTCCTGTGCCTGGCGTGTGGCGGAGAGAAGAGCAGCACAGACACGAAGGAAGACTGAGTCACGCAGGACAGAACGGCGAGCCCGCAGCCTCCGAGGCTGGGGTGGCCTCCCCTCCACACGTGGAGTCCTGGGTGTGGCTTAGAGGCCCACCGCAACACCACAGGGGAAGGGGAAGGAGGGAGAGAGACCCAAAGAAAGCCCCCTACTCCAGGTGAATCTAAAAGTCGAAATTCCAAACACTTCAGGGAATCCAGTATTAAGTGTAACCTGACAAAATGCTGAAACTCATGTAACGCAGGTAACGAACGAAAGCACAACCATCCGTTAGCGGTGGACTCAGAGTTTGAAACAGAGGCCGGCGGAAATGGAGAAGAGATAACTAGTCTAAAAATCATAAAAAAGAAAGCGTAGAAACTGAAATACAGTTATTAATACAAAACAGGAAAAAGTAAAAGAGGTGTGAACTGTGGACTCCACATGATCAAAGAGCAGATTGGTGAACCTGGGGTGGTTATGGGGGACCCCAAAAAGGCACCCAGAAAAACAAAAAGATAAAATCTATAAACTGTAATTAAGAATCTTTAGAGACATTACATCCCACTAAGAGATGTTCTTGAAGAAAGGGATGGAAGGAATATCAGAGGAACAGGAATTTGAGGAAATACTTGCTGAGGGTTTTCTTGAATTAAAAGCATGAGTTCTGAGGTTAAGATCGCCCTCCCAGGGACCAGCAGAACAACTAACAACAAGCCCTCCTGCACCCACCATAGGGAACCCTAGAACAAAACCCCAGGCCAGTCTCGGAATACACCAGAATACACTCAAAGAAGCCGCATTCAGGACATCAGACAGCGCTGGGACCACGTGGATGCCGGGATTCAGGGTGGCCGCCTGCGAGTGCTGAGGAATGCTACCCGTTTACCTACAACTCCACCCCACCCAGCGAGCACCCCCGAGACCTGAGAAAATAAAGGCACTTCGAGGTGTGCCCAGCCTGAGACGGTCCCCTCACAGCCACCGACAGAGGGCAGTTTGAAACAGAGACATCACAGATGCTCGTCACCCACACCCCAGGAACCCCCTTTCTGTGCGTGCATCCCGGAGAAGTCTTCTCGTGTGTGCAGGGGCAGACGTCAAGACGGTGAGTTTCAGCATTGTTCATAATGATAAAAAGTTGGAAATGGCCTCTCTGCCATTAGTGAAAGAACCGATAAGGGCCGTGTAGTGCGGCCAGGCAGTGAAGTATCACCACCGTGACGTTTATAAACCAAAATGCTTCGCGGGTCTCAAATAAAATGGGAAGGCTAAGAAAATGCCACTGGGGCCCGGCAACATCTAAGAGCTCTGTGGACAGTGTGGCTTCGCTGCGTCTGCTGTGGTTTCGGCAGCCTCCCCTAGCGTGTGCGTGCGTGGCCCCCTCAATGCCGCCGGGACCGCCAGAAGGCACCTCGGGAGCCATTCACGTTACCAAGGAAACCCACGCCATGGGGCAGAGGAGGATCTCCGGGGCGGCCGGTGGCTTCACTGGGAAGTGCTGTGGCTCAGATCGGCCTGTGGTTCCCTGAAACTGCTCGCTCCGGAAGGTGCAGGGGTGCAGGGGTGCAGGGGTGCAGGGGGGAGGGCGCCTCCACGGGACACACATGGAATCACCCCAGTGTAGTGGGCACCCGCCCCTTCCGCCCTAGCAAGGTCTTCTTCACTTCTAAGAGCGGTCCGGTGAATTCACGGCCTTCTGATCTTTCCTAAACATCTGTTTACTTTCAGAACTGGTACGCCAAAACCCCTCTGGGTAAGAAGCGCACCCTGGCCTTGCAGGGAGGGAATGCGGACAAGGCCAAGGATAAAGGAAAGAAGGGGAAGAAAGGGAAAAAGGAGAGGAAGAAAAAGTAACGCCTTCCCAAGGAGCCATCCTGGGTCCCGCTTCGCAACTCGGCCCCCACTCCAGTCTGAAGAAGACCCTCGCCCATGCCACCAGCCCCAGAATCCTCCCAGTCGGACCCTCGCTGGGCTGCCCACCGCGTCTGCTGCCCGCCGTCCTAGAGTTTGCGATTGTCCCTTAGCCTCCGGTAGTTTGTACATAACCAAAACTCACGCACAGTCTTCACGATCGGACACTTTGTCTCGTCCGTGCTCGTTGCCAAATTTCACGCGTGACAGGAAGTGCTCTCGTTTGACAGCTGGCAACGCACCGCAGTCTGTTATCAGTCCATATGTATATTATATTCTCTTGCACATATTTTAATGAATGAATTCTTTGCACTAATCATAGACTTTATATAATGGAATAAAATTCTCTGGTCCTTGAACTGACTCAGTAATTTGGCTGCTTAAGCTAAAAAATAAATAAATAAATAACCCAAACTTTAAAATGATCTATGTCAACTTTTTGACCCTGAAGATTGGGACACCGAGACCCAGGGTCACACAGAAAGAGTAAGAAGAGATCGTTATGAAAAACGTCACTACAAGAAAACAGAGGTTAAAAACACAGTAATTTACATGAAATGGGAAAATAAAAGAGGTATGACCAGACATGGTCAGAGAGCATGTTAGTGAGCCGGAGGGCAGTCCTTGGGGACCTGCCACCAAGGTCAGCCCAGAAGACCAAAGAGATCAAATCTACAACCTACGGGTAAGACCCTTTGAAGACAGAGTCCAGAGGAAAAGAAGGAACAGCAAAGGAACGGCGGCGGGAAGACCAGCCTGCTGAGGACCTTCCTGACCGAAGGACATGGGCTCTCAGGCCGCAACGCTGGGCCCCCGCAGTCACCCCTCAGTTCCCAAGAAGCACCCGGAACATGGCGGGCCAGCGGCTGCCGGAACTAGACTGAAAATAGGGTGAACGAGGGGAAGAGGAAGCCTGCAGCAAGAGGTAAAAAAACGCTGAAAAATGGAATAAAGAAGAGAAGACCAAAGACTCAGAAATCGGGATTGCGTGGGCCCCTGAAACGTGTTCTCATCGTGGTGAGAACTCGGGGGAGGCTTAAGTGGAGGTGGGTGGGTTTGATGTACGATTCACGAGTACCCTCTCTGATCGAGTGTGGGCAGCCCCCTACACTGTGGGCCACAGTGGAGGTCAAGGTTCCCGGGACCCCCAGCAGGCTGGACCTTCAATGCCCAGAACTACCAGGGTTCCCCAGTGTCTCCCGGCCGCCGGCACATGCCCTCCACCGGCGTCTGTGCAGGAGACCAGCACACACCGGGACAGAGGGAGACAGCCAAAGGCCTGCGTGCTCTGCACATGTTCTGAGCACCCCAGGAAGCTGCCCCTCGCGCCCGGGCCCCGGACAAACTCTGCTGTCTGAGGGCAAACCCTGCCGTAGGCTCACCTCCTCATGCTGCAGGAGCGTCCAGACGGCCGGCCTGGCCGCCCCTTCCCCGCTTCACACTGGGTCTGGCCGAGGCCCAGGGGGACCCAGGGGCGGACAGAGCCCCCACCCTAACCTCTGACAGCAGCTTACTCTCCCCAGGCCAGGGGACCAGGCCAGCTGAGCCAAGGCCCTTTCTCCACACTTCATGGGAAACAGACCCTCAGTTAGGACCCGAGAAGAGAACTTCGAGATGCTAGGGTTTGGTGTCTTTTGCAGAATAATGGGACCTGGAGGGTAAAAAGGGAGTATCAGGATTGTAAAGATGCGAACGTTATGGAGATGTTGAAACAACAATTCCACTGGACGTGGTCTCAGTTTAACGACAAGTGCACTTCATCAGAACTCGTACAACAATAATGAAGGATAACTAATGACAGAAGCTTACCCAGTCCATGTGCTTCCAAGCAGCCCGTCCAGTCAGCTTCCTGTGATGCGGGGACCGGTCTGACCTGTGCTCCGAGGTGGGCTTGGAGGAACAGGCAAAGCCTAAGAGCCGACGAGGGCCTGACCGTGGTCCTGACCGTGGTCCCCACGCACTCGCTCTCTCGTGCACACTCACACGCACACTCACATGCACACTCACACACGCACACTCACACTGGGACGGGGCCTCCACCGCTCACTCTGCTCTCTCCCAACCCCGACCGGTGCCCTCCTCTCCCTTTGTCTTCTCCCGGGGTCCGCGGGGCTCACACCAACCCGCCCACCCGCCTTTACCAAGAACCACGATGTCACCTCCCTCGCCAGCGGGCTCTGCCCCGCTCACGGACGCCCCCTGCTCTGCGCGAGGCAGACCCCTTGTGTGTGGGCACAGCGTCCACGAAAGCACACAGGCCACGAGTGGCACCCACGGCACTTCCACAGGGCCCCCTGCGCTGTGTGTGGCCAGACACACGATCCCAGAGACACAATCTGCCGTTGTCCCAGTGGGTGCAGACTGGCCCCACTTCACGGAGGGAGCGTCCCTGATTCCTCCTGTCTTCTCAGGGACAGACACATGGACTGTGCCCGTCCTTGGCTCTCCCACCCAGGATTCCTGCCTACGTTCCTTCAGGGCCATGTCCGGGGGACGGAGTCTGTGGGCCCCACTCCTGGAAGAGAAATCGCTGGGTCAGGTGACCTCTGGGTTTTCTATTCGGGCAGCTCTGGTCAGAATGGCCTCCAAGGTGGGGCTCATCCCAGCCACCATGCGGAGGACAGCTGCCCCTTACGTCACACCACCCACGGCGCAGGGTCCCCTGGACAGGGGATGTGACAGGGGGCCACACCTCCCATTGTCACCCCCATGGGGACAGGAGAGGCACCAGCCCTGGGGGGGAGAGAAGGGAAGTGGGGGGCTGGCGTGGGGGGCGGGGTGGAGAGTGCAGGAGACTGGCAGAAAGAAGGGGCGACGCCCTCCCCCGGAGTTCTGCCCAAGTCTGGGCTATTCTTGAGCCATCGTGTGACCATTAGCTCTTCCCAGCATGATCCTAAGTGAAGAGGACAGTAATTAATGTCATTAGCCCTCATTAAGGACACGTTGGATGGAATGAAACCCAATTAGAGTGGGATTAGAGCTCGGGGCTCTGCCCTGGGCCCCCCCCCAGGACAAGTGGGTTCCCGCCCCAGAGCCCAGGGTGACGGCGCGATGCTCCTGAGAGACGAGACCCTCAGGGCTTGAACCCCTCCAATCGGAATGCATGGTGTTAAGACACCCTGCACCGGAGTCACATCGGGGGCTCTCCCCAGACACCCACCCGTAGTTAACGCACAGCGGCCACTGTGCCGGGCGTCACGGGGCCCCTCCCTGGGAACACCAGTGGGGGACCCAGACCGCCGAGGGACAGGGCTTTCTGACGTCCTGTCAGAGGGGCTCGTCGCAGCCGTCACGCAGCAGGAGGGCGGCCCCTTCGGCCATCACCCACTCGGCCGTGACAGCCGAGATTTCAGGTTACGGGCAGCTGGGTGTGACGAGGAGCGAAGCATCTGGGGCTGCCTGTGCCCTTGGCACAGCGCCTGGCCCCATGTTCTCAGGTGCATCCGGGTGCTTCCGGGAGGTCGCCGGGGTCATGGGAGGGCTGTGCAGCAAGGTGATGAAGGAGGGGCGGTGGGAAGGGTGCGGGGGCCAAGCTCCTCTCTCCTGGGCCCGGGGGAAGGGCCCTGAGGAGCGGGTGAGGCCTGCACAAGCCGGGGCCTCTCTGTAGCGGCCCCATCCTCCATCCCCAACACTTCCCCTCAGCTCTTTCCCTCTGGGAACCCCTCGCCATCTCTGGACACCTCAGCCGGCCTTGCTGCACCCCGTCCCCGGCCTGTCTGGGAAGGAAGGCCAGCCAGCAAGCCGGGAAGAGGGCGGTGGGGTCCTGGGGCCCGGGCTGGGTCTGAATTCACAACCGCTGTGTCACCTTTCTCGTGTGGCTGCACATGTGCACACATACATGCCACACATAAATGTGTATACACATACATGTATGCACACAAACACCCCAAGCACACACATGTAACATGCACACACCTGTGTGCTATACGCACGCCAATGCCACACACGCCCCACAGCCCCCACGTGCTCAGGGGGGCTGATGGCACACGCCCACGCCCACATCCCTGCACCCCAGGCCTCACCCAGGCCGTGGGACCAGAACACAAACAGAGAAGGTGCTGGGCAGGTGCTCCTGGGGCCTGGGGTGGGGGCAGTGATGTTTACTGTCTGCACGAAGTGGGGCGGGGGTGGGCCATGAAAACATCCACTTCCTGCTCTCAGGGAGCCCGGGAGGAAAGGCGGGGTTGGGGGGGCGGGGCAGGAAGGCCCGCTGCTGCTGCCGCCTGGGGGCCCACTGCGCAGGGTCCCGGGGGCAAGTGCCTCTCCACCAGAAACCTAAACCATCGTCCCCGCCTACAGGCAGGGCTCAGAGAGGGCAGCGGCCCCTCCACAGAAGAGCCGCTCCTACAGCTAGGAGGCCGCCCGTGCGTCCTGGAGGAGCAAGGAGTCCGAGCAATGGTGATATGGGGCTGCCCTGTGGTCCCCGGCACCGTGGACGTTTCCTCATCCAGAGAAGCCCTGAGGTGATCCCTACAAAGACCCTCTTAGTTCCAAGGTCCCGCTGCCCGGAGGGCAGAGGCTTCCCAGAGGAGAGGCCTACAAACCCTCAGCCCCCAACCCTGACCTCCATCAGGGGCACTTCTGATAAGAGAGAGGGCCACGCCCTGTTAGCCATGCCCCCCAAACAGCTGGGCTCCTGAGTGCCAAAGTCCTTTGTGTGCCACCGAAGCTTCAGCCCGCAAGTGGCACCAGAGTGGTGAGAGTTTTACCCTGAAAGACACGAGCCCCTGTGCTCCTGGGGCAGGTAAACGGCAGGCCTCAGAGCTGGCGGGCTCTCGCCTCATTTTTGGTCCCAGGGTGGCAGCTCCAGCGCTGGAGCCCTGTCAGGTCAGAGGTCGCGTCCCCTTGGAGGGCAGGCCATGCATGCCTACCACGCCCCTGGCCAAGCAGAGCCCCCTGGAACCCTGGGTGGGGGGCTGCCTTGTGTCCTGCTGGAACCACTTCGAGGGTTAGAATAAAATTGTCTTTTAAGCTCTGACAAGCACGTGCAAATTAGAACAAAGAAAACCACCTCCCAAAGCTGGGGCCTGGGCCGACCTGATGCCCGGGTGAGCGGCTGCTCGAGAGAAGACCTTGGAATGTTCCACGAATTTAAAGGATGGAGCGAAGCAGACGCTGCAGTGTCTCTGTTGCCAATTTTCACTTCAAGTTGCACTAAAACCTTAATCTCGCTGTGTCCTTAGAGAGCTCAGCTGGAACCCTACCGTGAGTGTTTAGAAAGTAACGTGGGAAACCGTGAAAACAGACCTTTGAGGAATCAACTGAGGATGGAAAGTACTGCGGGGGACAGCTAAACGGGCCCAGAAGAGGACACTGTCACCCTGAAACATCCCTGCAGCAGACACTGGGAGAGAATCAAGAGG